ACTAGAAGCCCTCTCTCATAAAGTACTTTGAAATGTTAAATTTTGGGCTTGTGGAATTGTTATTAGTTACGTAATTAGTCACCATAGTGAAAGGCTTACAAATATGGTAAAAGCCGTTAACAGCCTGCCATTCTCCTCCTGCCTTTGTTTATTAATAAAGACATGTTCAGACAATAGCATCTTCCTGGTAGCAACAACTGGTACATCCAGAAAATTAATATTTTCGTCTTTTCTTTTTTGAAATGTAAATTTTCTTCTCGTTTAATGTTAGCCGAAGAAACCAATTTATGAATAGACTTAATTAAGTTGACGTCGAATCTTGCGATATATTTAATTCTTTTGCTCGCAAAGTTCTGAACTGTTTTTACTTATTTAACATTACCTCTGAAGTGTATGTTAACTTTACAAAAAATACAGAAATGAATAAATAAATAAGGAATAAATGCATAAGTCAGTACAGGAAGATTTAGCAAGACAAAGATAGTCTTCTGAATCACCTAAAGGGAAAAAAAAACACAGAAACAAAAAGCCAGTCAAAATAACAATTCTTACGATTTCTACAGGTCTGAATCAATAACGCTGTATTGTAAAATTCTTTAGAACGTGTTACATGATAAACATCGTAAGTGAAGGCTGCGAGACGAGTAAAGATTTGTGTCACACCGCAGAAATGTAACTCTTTCACGTTTATTTTACTTTAATTTGACTGTACAGAATATAAATTTTATCATAATTCTTTATTGTTACTTTTTTCTTCAATACATATATAACTCGAGGTTTGATACGCGTTGTCTATCTACAAACTCAATAAGAATGATGAGTGAAATATAGAAAGATGATGGTATTTGCCCTGTTTGAACATGGACATCTTGGATGTGTTTTTTCTCTGTACTAACAAAGTGTCATTTGAATTACAAAAGAAGATCGAAGATTATTGAGGAAAATAACACTAATATTACCATTACAGTCAAACAGCAATTTCTTCGATCTTTTGGAAACTGATTTACGTATGAGACCCAAGTGTACTTGATCTGACATGTTTCTGAAAATATTTTGTCTCATCAGCAAACAATTTGGGAAACGAATTTGTGTATGATATAGGCCCATCGACAGACTGAAACTCAGAACATGTTAATTGTGCTTAGCAAACGTTTAAATGTTATTCGCAGATAAAATGCTTGTACTAGCGCGATTAATGTCAAACATCATTAACGCTTTGCTCGTAAACACGGTCGTTGGAGGAAAAACATTTTCCGATACTGTGGAAGAACGTGTGTATGTCACGCCTTGATGAACAAACCTTGAAAGAAAAGGCGACATGGGCAGCGCAGCTACCCAAAAGATCTTATCTTTGTAAATTTATACAAAACCCTCTCAGATGTTGCGAAGAACAACTGATACCTCTCTAGAAAAAGGGGATCCTTTACTTCTTTATGTACAGCTCACATGATGACAGTTTCTACCTAGAACAAAGTGTCACACTCACCGTTTTGCTGTAAGACGTGACGGTATGCGTAAGTTTAAAAATATCAAAACATGAAATTGCGATTACTGTTTACATTTACAACCCAATGAGATTTTCTTTTCTTCAAAGCAACCTTCAAGAAATCAAGAAGTGTCTATATGTTTTCCAGCATTTCAAATGTGCTTTCCTGCAAGAGAGCCTGACTTTAAATTCCCGAGGGACTCGGATTTCATATCTGATATCTTATGTAGATGTTTTGACGCTTTTGTTATATATGCACATGGCGCTCGTCTGCACGTGACTTGAACAAAATGTTTGCTTTTGGTTCGTTCGTTTCGCACCTCGAAATAACAACATGGGCAAATCGCCAGAGTTAAGCTGTGTACGATCTCGGTCTTGTATAATTGTTGTTAACAAAGTGTCTTTTTCGCCAGGTTCGTCCCTCTCGATCTTTCTTCAGCACCCGTGAGTTACGAGCTCGCTCGCGATGTATCTCGGCAAGGTCTCGGTTATGCTCTCTTCCGTTACCATCGACGTCTTCCTCTAAAATATCATCGAGATTCGGCTCGTACGAAGAATGGCGACGGATCCTGCCGCCCTTGACCTGTATTGGAGCGTTCTGTTGTTTTGCCACTTCACAACGCGCCTGGTTGGTTTCCATACTTTGCCTCAAAATTTCGACATCTTCGCTTGAACTTTTGCGTGCGTAAACTTTCTCTACATCAGCACGTTGAATTTCCTTCCATTCATTCATGGAAACGGGTTTGTCTGTTACAAATAACATTGTATGAAATATTTCTTACAATTTCAAGAACAAATTGTTCTACCATACGAGGAGATCACGTCCTAAGCTCTAGTAACCACTTTGATCTAATCCTGCCTCTGGCAGAAACAGGGAGGCAGAATCTTGTTTACATCGCCTTGAATTTCACGTGCTATTAATATTAAATAGACAGGGTTATCTGAGAGTGACAGGTGTCAGAATTTAAATAACAAATACGGGAACTATGGTTTTCTTCGCTCCAAAAGCTTTTCTCGATTTATGAAACCAAGTTAAATGCAAAGGGATAATTACCTTGTATTCAATTGGTTAGTGACAAAACCATGAAAAACAGGGCTTTAGAATTTAAATTAATATCCTAAAGTTTAGAAAAAATTCAGCAGCAAATGATTACAGTTTTCCTTATTTGGACGTAGAAAGGGACATGTTTATTTACCAATCAAGGCAGCGAGGTGTCAAAAATCCGAAAAGCGTTCGATAAAATAAACTGAATTTGTCTCTGAATAAAGACTACATGATCATTATCTTTTTTAACACATATGGATAGTAGCTTGAATATTAATAAAGAGGTGGTGTGTTAGGGCTATTCAGCGCCTCTAAGGTTTGCTAAATGCATTGCTTCTAGGACACTTATCGTAATGTGTAAACAACAAGAGGAGCCAGAAAGACATAGAGTGTGATAGATCCTTTCTGTACGCTTTTAAAAGAAAAACAATCGTTGACAGTCACTTTGAAGTCCGTCACCTTTTATTTGCGCTATGGTGTTTTTTACAATTGTAATTTGCAGTTTGAGCAGTTGCACGGTGCGTCTAGGAAATTGTCGATGTAACTCGCAAAATCTACATACATCCGATACGAATGATTTGTAGCCTGGAAGTCGGGTTATACTGACCTCCTCCGGTGAATAAAAAAAGAAGTGCCAGGATAATGATATTGCTCTCCCACGGTTTTAGCTCATTTCCAATTTTATTCGCTACTTTACTGGTTTCGTTTAGTTTTCTTCGGCACAGCTTCGGCTCTCTGTTTCAGATACCCCGGGGCAAAATATTTTTTTATAACTGGCTAAACCTCCGACAGCAAAGGCGAAATCTAAACGTTTAAAGTCGGCAGGTGATATGAATGTTCTAAGTTGTTATTTTACATACGTATCCTAATGGGTATCATTTCTTGTGTTCACGTCGGCCTTACTTTCACAACAGCACCCTCATTTATTTTTTTTAGCGCGCTAATAATCGAGAGGAATAATTTTAAGCTTGGAAATAGAACTGAAAAATTTGAAAGTCCATTTTTACATTTCATTTTCCGTAAAAAAAAAGTCTATTTAAGGCGACCTACGGACAACAAATTGAAATGATGCGTAATCGCCCCCCTCTAGCCGATTGTGCAATAGCTTATTTACTTTGGCTTCGCACAGTACCCAACGATTATTTTGATTGGGTTGATGTAAACATACACTGGCGCTCTTCAGTTTTATTCCGCAAGAGTTGCCCCTCACTGAATACCTGCATGGGGTTAAAAGTGTTTTCGGTCAAAAAGCTATCTCTCAGTTCCTACATAAACAAAAAAGTCGTTCGCCAATGAAGGCTTTTGACACTTTCGACTCTTTTCTCCCTCTTTTCTACGCAATAGTGTTATTGATATTGTGATTTTAAATATTATTTTCACAACTTTTCTTCTTCTTTTTAATTTTAATCCAATTATTTTTTCCCTACTTTTTGGCATGGACTTGTGCCAAATGACAATGTTGATTTAGACGAAGCAGCGGAGTGCATACTAGTCATCCATTTGTTATTGCTAAAAGGATAATACAGATTCCCACTGTGAGAGGATTACTTCTTTTTGATAACACCGCGACTGCATTGCAGAGGCTTGTTATTGAATAAACAGTGGAAAGCAGCATGCTATACAGCGGGAATGTAGGATTATCCTTATGGAGTCAATTTTGAGCAGAATTTTCTGCTTAAATAGGTAAAACGGATAGTAGTATTGACTCCCTCTGAAAATTAATTTAAACAGCTAACTGTGGTTGTCAGGTAAATTCCGAGCGTAGAAATCATCGACTTGGGTAGATATCTTTAGGGGTCGACCCGCCGCTAGGGCCTCCATGTACAGTGCAGCAGAGAAACCATTGTTATAATTTAACCAGTTGAGTAGTATTGAATCTGTACAGCCTTTAGCTTTGCGGAGTTAGAAGTCTAATAATCCCGCTAGGGTACTTAAGCTAATTAATATCAGAGCCCATTTTCTACCACCGCCCCTCGTCCGGCCCCCTACACACCTCAACCGGACTGGATCAACTTAGCCCTGTTGATGAACGATTTTTTTATTAATTTATTCAACGATCCTTCGCTTGCCAGTGGAATTGTCTGGTTGTCCGTTGTGCGCGTCGGTGATAACGTTAAGCCAATTTCACAAAGATAAACAAAAACTTACGGTTTCCTTTTATCAACATTACCTAAATCGATTTATGATAACACAGCGACGAAAAATTGCTCATCTCTCTCCAAAATCGTTCATTTGGCGTCGAAACAACATTTCGCTATTTATTTTTTTCTAGCAACTTGCAATGTTTGCTCCGTGGCGATCCCACAAGTATCCGATTTCTGCCAACTCATTAACTGCCGCACGCCACTCTCAGTCCTTTTTCTTTCCACCAGAGAGAATCAACTACCGTGACCTTTCTCCTCCACGTCACGAACCAAACCGAGGCTTAATGATAACAAAACCGGTTAAACCAGAATTTATCCTGGGTGTTGTTTAGTGTCGCAGCCAAAGGTGCAAAACTCGAAGCTAAGAACAAGACTTGAAAGCGATAGCTATAAACCAGTATCAGTGCAGTTTCAATCACCAAAGCAGTGAATTGTTAGGTAAGAGGACTGTCAAACGACATCTTAAGCAAAGTTCAATCATTTGTTATTTCACTGATGTCGCGATTGCAAAGACAAAGAGAAAATGAAAGACCAATCGACGACACATCCCGGAAGTACCCACGTCTTTGCTACGAGTGAGGGAGTAACGTTAAAGTGAATAGTTTGCAGTTTGCTTTAAAGTAACGAGCTTTCTCATCCGGTGCACGAGTTTTGTTCACGCTATAAATACAGCAGAAACTTCTCTATTTTAGGGAATTCGAAGACAGTTCTACGGATTCGATTTGCATGGGTGCGCACAAAGCAATTCTGTCTACGCCATAACACGACCAAATTTAAATGCTTCAAAAACAAAACAGAAATCTGAGTTAATTATCTCCTCTAAGCTGCCTACCGGAAAGTGGAGCAAAGAGGGTAACTATGTGTTTTTAATAACTTGTAGAACGTTTAGGAACAAATGTGTCATTAGTGAGTGGTTTTTATTCATAAATTTATCGCGTATTGTTTGAGAAGTGTGGCCGTCGACGAAAGCGTACACAACGGATTCACATAACAATTAAAGACAATATCTGTTTTATATTATACAGTGCTCTCATTATTCCATCACCATAAAGAGTGAATAGAACCGTTCACTGCCAACAGGATGCCTTTGGATACAGTCTTATGTCTCGACACTTCGGGATCCATGGGTTGGAATAACAATGAGGGAATCAACCAGCTAAAAGCTGCTGCGCTCAAATTTCTGGAAGGAGTCGAGGAAACTGCAAAGCAGGCGAATTTGAAGGTGAGAAGTGGCGATCCATGGGGTTATTGTAAAAGAACGATTGTATGGCTGGTAAAGAAGGATTTGTACATGGGAAACGTTCATGTAATCAAACATACTTAAAAAAGAAAACAAAAACAAAAAACAAAAAACAAGCTTTCTGGTTACTGATTAGGTTTGATGCGTTTTGATGCGTTTGATACTTCCGTTAACCGGGACTTCCTTAACTCAATTCCCAAATTAAAGAACGAAAAGTAATTCATTAAAGAGACTAGTAACATCTATTGCATCCTAGAGTTTTAATTAAGCGAACCAGTGTCAAAAATGTTTATTTCCTTTTAAATGTCTGAATGAGATCTGGAAGTGATCTCTACTGCGACCTCGATTAAGTTTCTCGGAAAATGGCGAGCATGTCGCAACTTCCGGTTTTCCAGGAATTTATCTGATAAGTGATTATAATAGGCAACTGCTTTGTCTCAGCTTACTCCTGTTCTAACCTGTTCATATGATCTATTTGGATTAATTACATTGTCGTTCTCAAATTTTCATCAATGCGTAAGTTTTCAGAGAAATAAAAAACCCGCGCTGGAATGGATTTGCTTCGCCAAAATGACGTACAGTTTTGTGCATTGAGGTCCACGTAACTTTTATTTGAAGAAGCAACGGCTGAGGAGACTTTTCATTGAAAAGTAGCCGTTTTAAAAACATGCTTCTGGATGGATCCTGTCAAAATTCAATTAATTTCTTCTTTGCGACTAAGTAGTTATCGTCGTTATAGGGAGTAGAGCTAAAATCTCTGGCTTGTGCATTTGTCTCTCAGTGCTTTGTCTTCGATCTTGTTTTTTGCTCTGAGCTTGAGTTAACTTACTGTACGTATACAATGTATTTTATTTTCCGCGTTTCGAGTTTTTATAGGTGCATATCTTTTTAGTTAGTAGTTTGATTTCTTAATCGATATGTATTTGCTTTTTACACTCAGGAAAATGTTGCCATAGTAGAGTTTGGGGCCAGGACGCAAATATTGCATAGTTTATCAAACAACTATCCAAGTCTCAAATTGAAAATTCGTAAGTTTCACTCCTTTCTTCGTTTGAAATTCTATAGATTAGCCATGAATTCTACCCGATCCTCTGTTTTAATGAAACTATACATGGGTTGACATATGGAGCGGGGTACCTGAGTTTTAAAATTACGTGAAGCTATTCTAACTAATTTCAAGAACATAAATTTGAATTTTTAACGCCTGTTTGAATTCAGCCTTTCCAAGTTGCCTCAGGGGAAAAAGAGGTCAAGATGTCATGGAATCTCATCTTAAGAAGATTGACATGATAAAAGAAAGTTCTAATCATATCTCGTGATGGGCTTGTTGTTCGTTTCTTGAGGGATGATTTCTTTTGTTTCAGGTGGACTTAAAGCCAATGGAACCACCCCAATGAAAGATGGTTTGCTGATGGCACTACAGGAGATTGGAAAAAATGGTAAGACGATAACTGCTGATGAGGCAAAACTTAATATTGCTTCTTGACAGTAGAAACAAGATTTTATATGACCTCATCCTTTTTTTTTTCACCTCAAGAAAGAGACAAGCATGTTTAAAGTAATTAGCACGCGATTCCATTTTGGTTACAGAGAAATGAGTAGATTACATCTCATGTCACGAAGCCAATGAAGCAACCAAATATAGACAGTAAATGTCATTAACTGTGTCGAACACGGAAGTTATACACGCTTTCTTGTCTTTCGGACTGTTTACCTTCTAAGGTGGTGTTGTCAATGTCAATGGAAGGAAGCTTTGTCCACGCATCATTCTCATGACTGACGGGAAACCTACTGATGAAAATGGACGTGAAAATGAACAGGCAAGACTGTAAAAGATAAAACGGTGTCCTTTTTCCGGCATTAAAACGATAACGTTTGGAATAAAATAAACAGAAACTTAATCCTCCTTACCGGGGAATAAATGGAGCTTTAAATTCATGCACTTTCGGCTACGTGATATGAATATGGATTGGCGGTATTACCGATCACTTTACTTAGCTTGGCTTAATTATCTTGCCGCAAACCAGTAGTTAAAATCATTGTTTATTGCAACGCTTAAATAGCATTTCTAAGCGTCTCGTACATTTTGATAAGATCTTTCAGTCGGTTTTGCATTTTAGACATGAGTGTTTACGTTGAGCTTTCGCCAATTTTATTTTAGGCCTTGACTGCAGTGCTACTAGTGGCTGTGCTCTTTGGTCCTCGCTGGCAAGAAGTTGGTCTTCCTTATAAGATCCCAATCGCCTGCGTTGGCTGTGGAAATGCTGATAAGGTAAATTGAATTTGTAAATTAGAAAAATTAGAAAAAAGTAATTAGAAAAAATTATAAAAAAAATTAGAAAAAAGTGAAGTAGCACGAGTCAACAAGCCTCGCTGTCTAGTGGCTTTCCAAGTTTCGTTGACAATAATAAGTTAGGCGTTTTTACCAGTCTTCCTTAGCGAACTGATATATCCCTTTTCATCGTAGGCTCGTTAATTTTTCCCCACAACACTCCCATAAAGGACACTTTGAGCGCTAGGTTTCTTATCGAGAACACGACGCATTACGCAAATTAAAGGATGATTGTTGTCCTGGTGTTTAACGATTCAAAAACCCTGATAGCTAGACATTTTGCGCGAACGTAAGACTTGACTTGGTCTGTGAATTTTACTAAGTAACTTGTTCGCTTGTTCTTTTTTTAAAAGACAGTAGAGAGGTAGTAATTCTTCCATCAAGCTGCCGTGATTTCCTTTTAGTTAAGTTAAAACAATCAAACATAAATATATCAATTACGACCTGTGGCTATCGCTAGCTGTCTGCTGAATGATATGTTGATTTTTTTAGGAGATATTAAATGTACCTCATTTCTGGAATTTACAGTGTTTATGATGAGCGCTTTTTGTCCCCGTTTAATTTAGCCCATGGCTTGTTGCAGTAGCTCCCCACCCACCCTCCCCTCCGACCCCCAAAACAAACAAACGAAACAAATCTAGGAAGAGACACAAAACAAAACAAAACACAATAAAAACTTACGCTTGACTATCACTAGGAGCTGGAGATTTCCCCCAAACCTCAACCATTTGCCGTTTGTCAATTAGAAAACTAAATACCTGATTTGTGCTCTTTGTGAAATTTTAGAAACTTTTGGCAAGCATTGCACAAACAACTGGAGGAATGTACGTGATGGTGCAAAACATGGATGAACTCAGCACTTTTTTTAAGCGCCAAGTGTTGCTATCACGTTTTATCGCCCAGTTTTCCCATGGTGAGTTTGCTGACCATAAATATCCATTGCACTGGAACCAATACTTTATTTCCTTAAATTTAAACCATAGAGTCAACTCTTAACTTTGTTTTGTGATAACTATTTCAAATGTATAGTGAAATAAGAAATTTGCCATTTCAGGGGGGGAGTTCCCCTTTTCAAAACGTTTTCTTGGAACAGCTTGTCCTCTGTAGTTGAGGGTGGAGGGGGAAGGGGTTCATCATGTCTTTCACTTTAAAACATCACATACATAAGTGTACTGCCACACAGAATAGAGTAACATTCAACCCTATGCATTCAATTCCTTTTTTTTTTTTAGTGTTATACCGATATGCGATATTAGACGACTGAATTCGCACTGCGAAAATGTTAAGGGGTTCATCATAAAATGGGCGGGGTGAAGGTTTTATTTCCAAAATTTGGAGACTCTTGGTGAACTTTAAAACATTAACCAGCAGAGTGGCTCAATTTCATTGGCAACATGGTAACCTCAGTGTAATATCATTCTTACTTTTTTTAGTAGATTTCAGTTGCATTTGCCAAAATTTGCTCAACCAAAAGCTAGATGCTAAAAATTCTCACGAGTCTGAAAAACTGATTTCTATGTGACAAATGACAAACAAGAAGCATTGTTTTGTTTACTTTCCTATTCCACAGATATGACACAACTTAGGAACTTGCTTGTGCTGCAACAGTTTATGCGAAGTCTCGGCGAAGACATGGAAGAAAGGGAACTGGTAAGAGAGTTATCAATGCATGGATTAGAGAATTGATAGCTCAATTCCAACAATATCAAACTCTTGCCAGGGCTAAGGATAATTATCCGAGGAACTGGGTTAGAACGGAGAGGGCCGGGAAGGAAACAAAAAAAAATGTTTAGATTACTAAACTCAAGTTTACCATAGCTCTCAATCTTACTTTTCACAAGGAAAAACGTTGCACACACGCGCAAGACAGTTTTACACTTGTTCGTTTGTTATTTCTTTTTGCAGCGTCCTTTCATGGCTCTCTTATTGGCCATGTTGGTTGCAGACGATGACGATGACGATAATGGCGTGAGTAGTATACATTTTGCTTTGTGCGAAGCTTATTTTTGAACTTGATGCTTTTGATGGTATTTCCTTGTCTTCAATTAATACGGGAGAGAAACAGTAACCATGAAATTGAACTACTGACCAATCTGGATACACGCAGAGATATTTCAGCAAGATTTGCGAATGCAGTAGAAAGTAAAAAGAAAGTGGCACTTATATAGTTTCCGTTGTTATTGTTGGTGTCGTGTTGTCTTCCCTCTCATGCTTAATTTTATGGCCTTTATCAGCAGCAACCTCGGAGAACTAGCAAAATGACAAATGGCCAAAATAAATAAACAAATAACTGAAAGGTAGATAGGTAAACACTCACAGACCCGCAAGTAATCAGTGCTAAGCCTCTTTGCATTGAAATAAAATTTCAAAATAGTGCATGTCATGTTGGAGCTGTTGTTATTATTACTCCTTAGAACTATCCCAAACCTCCCCCACCGGGGACACGTGTTCGCAGAGGACCGCACTGGAAATGGGGCGACCAAGATGGAGGGAGAGTTGGTACAGTAGTGGATGCTGGAGGAACGCCTGGTCAGTTAGGATTTTGATAGCTAACTTCATACTGCGTCCTGTGAATCCAAGTGCAGAGTCAGCAGGGATGGAGAATGTGATAATTAGTTTTATTTTGAAAAAAAGTCCTGGTAGGCTCCTGTATAACTGCAAACCTTTTTTTAAACTATTCATTTTTGTCATTGTGATTTCCGCTGTTGTTGTTTTGGTTTTGCTATGTTGTCTTCTGTTTTTGTTTCCGCTCTGTCTTTGTTTTATTTCTAAATAATTGATTTATAAAACACTCACAAGACCCACGTTAGATAGCAGCGAGATTTTGATGCAGGATTCCTATTACCTGAGCGTGAAGAGAAAATGATGAAACAGTACGGTGAGTAAGGAGTTGGTTTATCTAGTCATCTGCATGGTGCCACTCGGTAAATTCTCGCTCAGAAAATACAGACGTTTTTCTTCTCCAATTCGTTTCTTTGACAAAACTCGACAATGTCAATTTCCACTTTGCAAGCTTGATTCCACCATAACAGAATTTATGTGATATGTCCCAAGGAGGGTCTTAATGAGCTGATGGCTTTTACGGTTAAAATAAATTTTTAGCCTATTTCAGGCTATCGGTTAATATCTTTCCATTGCGATGACCAGAATTTTTTTTACGGTTAATATTTTTGCAACTGACGGTTAAAATTTGTCAATTCTTACGCTTAACGGGATCACATTTGCTTTCAGGTTGGGTGGAGGTTCAATGGGATCGCGGAAATAAGAATTCCTACCGCTACGGAAAAGAATCTGCTTTTGATGTCAAAGTAAGATACATTTATTAAAACTCATTATATGGAATTTCTACATAATATGTTCGCATTTCTTTCCGCACAATGAACATGTGAAAGGGGAAGATTACGCACTTTGGTAAGCCGCCGGTCACAACGGACGCATGTTGAAGAAAAATATGGTGTGTGCGCAATTGTTGGAGTACATGCGGATTGACAGAGTAGAGAGATCTCCAATTATATTGACTACTTAAACACTGTGGTGACAAAAGTTTCCGCTACTTTGCGCCCCCAATGCTTGAGCTTTAAGTTTCGTGAAGTAACACTGTCATTTTTAGGTTGTTGATGAGAACAGACGCGTGCTTCTCCTTGAAGGAGTCCAAGTTGGATGCCGTGTGATTAGAGGTTAGAAAACTTCGGAGTCATCCTACGCTTCCGATAGAGCACCTGGGTGGGTCAGGCGGGTAGGAATCAAAGAATCAATCCAAATTACATATATGTTGCTAAAGATATTATCACTAGACGACAACAACAACAACAACAACAAAACGTGCGGGAAAGTGTTTGGTTTCTTGGAAATTTTCAGAACATATATGAAAGGGGACCACAAACTCAACATGAAGGCAACTGGAAATGGAACTGTAGATTTTTTATATTACAGTCATTGTGGGACATGAATTCAATGAGAAAAGGGAGGGAGAAGGAGGAAGAATGGCCTGACTGTATTTAAAGACCACAGTAGGCGCTGCAATTACACAAAGAGCAATTGCAGAGTCGTCGGGGAACTTAGAGTAATTGCTTTGATTTTAGATGTACTTTCTATTAATTTGTAGGACCAGACTGGAAATGGGGAAATCAAGATGGAGGAAGTGGGAACATCGGTCGCGTTTATCACGTAGGCAGTGGAATTGCAAAGGTGAATTTAGCATGTTTCAGGTTATGATTTTTTTTTCTGCTTCATTTCCTCTCTTTTGTTTTGCTTCACACATTGCTCTCTCAATAGTTTATGTTCTGTATTTTTTAACACGAAAACGAAGTTTTTCTCCTGATCTAAGGGGCAGTTTAAAGACAGGATTTTTTTTGCACAATTTTTTTCTAGAGAAATTAACTATCAACTTGACCATTTCCCCACAAACTTAACGTAAATAGGTTTTTGAGGAGCATCTCACTAATTCACCTTTTGGGCTTTAGATTTCACGTGTAGTATCACGTGACTTTTGATGTAAACAAACCTCGAAAGTTCGGACATTGAGTCGAGCTCGCAGCACATGTGTCCGAACTTCGGCTTTGGAAATTTTTAAATAACTTCCCACTTTCAAGAAGCGTCTCTTCGCTCAAAATTGACATCGTTCTTTCGACATTTATTTGATCGTTTTTAAGCAAGTTGTCATTGCGCTGCCGTTGAGGCAGATGCGAAGAATGTTACAGGAAGCGTTGCGGCATGGAATAATTGAACTAGTTCTGCGTACAGTGATGTATCTGATCAGGTATTTTCAGGGTGTTTAGTGCGTAGATTGTCAGATAAAACCCCGTCCGACAGGAAATTAGTGCCCACGAATCGCTGTAGAACGTGAGGAGGCCTTGATTCCCAAAAATAAAACCGATTTCAACTCTATGAACGTGTGCGATTGCAGTTGTTTAGTAAGTGTATACCTAAACATAATGGTTACGATAAAGAGATGAGCTTATGGCACCTGAAAAATGATTCACGGTACTTCAACTCCTGGGTAAGAAACGCTAACGGCGACCTAGTCAAGTTTTTCCATTTTCCGGGGGCAGTTAGACAAAAGACAAAAGGAGAGAAGGTAAAGGTGGATGAGGTTATGTCATCGAGGTGACTAGTTTGTGTGCAAAAAAGGACAGCTACGTTTGTAGTCTACATTTCGTCGGTGGAAATGGTCCAACAGAAGAGGATCCTGATCCCATATCTGCTGTAGCTGGTAAAGAAAGGGTAAGTTAATTTAGTCATTCTTTTATATCACCATGCCTAGGTGTCGCGACTCGTAAACGAAAGGCATCTTGCGAACGAGAAGCAGATAAAGAGAGGTGCAGGAAAGTTTGCCTTCAACGATCAGTGGCAAAAACCCTTCTGACACTTGATCGTCAAACTGGTAAATCGACAGAGGAATACGCAGCAGTTAAAGCCCTTTTAGTTTTGAGCGTGGAGCCTGTGATGAGTTCAGAGAGCAAATCAAATAATTAAAAATATCGTACAATCCGAACGGCGGCGACGCGTTAAAATTGTTAACAGTCCTTAGGGTATAAGCATATCATGAATTATTAATTCCCCTAAAGCAGGGACGTCGCCTTTTCGAAATTTGGATCCATTGGCAGAACCATTTTTTCGACTGCGGAGGTGATTTCCACTAACGAGGTTTTCAAGTATCCGCTCGCTGAAATCCCCCGTTCTTGTAGATATTTTTTAAGCTCTGCCACACTCATTGCGTTGAAATCAGCTTTACTTTTGTGATCTGCCATTCTCAAGTTTCACTTTTCTTGAAGGTTGTTCTGAGTTTCGCAGAATTTCCTATTTGCGTTACTTAAGGTTAAAAAAATTGGTACATTAATCAGCTAAGGAAATCCACACCCAGATACGTAATTACATGCGGGAATTAAGGCTTCCTCACGTTCTACAGCGATCCGTGGGCGCTAATTTCCTGTCGGACGGGGATTTATCTGACAATCTACGCACTAAATACCCTGAAAATACCTGATCACATACATCACTGTACGCCGAACTAGTTCAATTATTCCATGCCGCAACGCTTCCTGTAACATTCTTCGCATCTGCTTCAACGGCAGCGAAATGACAACTTGCTTAATAAACGATCAAATAAATAACAAAAGAAAGATGTCAATTTTGAGCGTAGAGACGCTTCTTGAAAGTGGGAAGTTATTTAAGAAAAATTTCCAAAGCCGAAGTTTGGACACATGTGCTGCGAGCTCGACTCAATGTCCGAACTTTCGGGGTTTGTTTACATCAAAAGTCACGTGATACTACACGTGAAATCTAAAGCCCAAAAGGTGAATTCCAATCAGTGCTTTTGGAAATTATAATGAAGTTGTTTTATGATTAAAAAAAAAATTCTAACTTCGCGTTTTTAGTCCAGAAAAACAGCAAATGACTCATATTGTTACAAGTCAAATCATAAGCTTGTAGTGTAGTTTGCTATTTCCCGATTTAATTTTTGCACGTGTCAATGTGGAAATAGTCATTTCATGTAAGTTTGTAACACGTCTAATTATGAGCAGGTCCGCTGGCCCAATGGAAGCACCAATAGTTACCGAGATGGTGCAGAAGGAGCGCATGATCTTCTTGTCCACCCTGCGGTAGGTATCTTGAAGTCAATAAAATTATGAGCTCACATAAGCATAAGACTTAATCAAAGGTTGCCTTAGTTTTAAGTTGCACTGTTTTCGCCTGATGATCACGAGTTTCAGTCGCGTGATCATATAGTCCTGTTTGTTTGTTTGTTTGGTTTTTTGTTTGCTAGTCTATCTGTTTGTTTCGGATTCATTTTTATAACTGCAACGATCTCCCCTCTGTTAACATATTTGTTCTTTAGTTCAGCTATATGATTTTCATGAAACTCTCTCGAGGCCAGGGCTATGTGGAGCTGACAGTTTCTCTTCATCGTAGGACGTGATCATGATGCCTGTCTTATCTGCTGGCTCACCAAGGCAGCAGCCGTCTGAGGCTTGTCTGGTGATGTAAAGCTCGACAGCTGTTGAGTCCGCATGAGTGACACCAAGTATAATGAAAAGGCAAAGTTTTTAGTTTAAGTCTTAGCTTTAGAGCTTGAGGGTTGTTTAGGAAATGCAATGCTCTGGGCCTCTTTATTAGATACAGAGCAGCATAGAGCTGAGTTTAGGCAAAAGCACATATTAGCAGTGATCTAGTGTGGTGACTTTATTAGTATCTAAATACAAATTTAGTAGAAAAAAGAAGTGAAATAACCTATAAAGGATTAGGATTTGTAAACAAGTTTTGCAGCTGTTAAGTGTTGTAAGAAGAAGATCAGTGAAACTTCACCAATGAACAAACAGCCAACGACGATGGTGAATTGCAGACATAAACGTTTTGGACTGACCTACACACCGGTACACCCGGGGATGTCAGAATTGATTATCAAAAATTGATTATGATGGATTGAAAATCTGCATGGCTTGCTATTTTCATAAAAAAATTGTAGGGAAGGATTAAAAAGAAACTTCAATATATTTTGCCTATTGATTAAACTGTAAAGATTTGCTTTTTACATGTCTACTACATGTATAAAGCAAGCAGCTAGAATAAATGCATGGCTCTTGTTTCGCAAAATAATACGCTATTCCCTTTATACCTGTGTCACCCGAGTGAAAGCTACCTGTTCTTTTCTTTTGAGTTGCCCTGTCACAGATTAAACCTCTCAAGATAAAGAGGGGGTCCTGTTTTGGAAAGACTGATAGCACTTAGTTAACTAACAAAAAAATGCTAAAAATTGATAAAGAAAACCGCGTATGTATGTAAGAGCTGGTTTGTAATTAGCTAAAATAGGAACTCGGGAATGGTTTTGTAAGTAATTGTTGTTGACTGGTTAATACATTTCATGACAAAACGAAACTTTCTGTTGTTGGTTTCAGCCTTGAACACTGAAATGTACTTCTTTGGGTTAACTAAAGAGACGAATGAATCGTGAGCGAGAGATAATAATCTCTTGATTGTGAACTAACTAAGGATATATTCAATGAGGTTCGCCAAGACTTGATATATTTAGCATGATGACGTTCATAGATAATCACAAATTGAAAACCTGCCAGAACGTGGTTTAACAGTCAGGGAAAATTACGTCGGGATTAAATTACTTAAGTATTTAGACCTTTCCACTTTGCATGTTTGGTTGCGTATCTTGCCCACTGCGTGCAAATATGGCAATTGTTCAGCACTGTTGTGATACCTGCTGTGAAGATAACAGGAAGCACCTGAGCGTTTCAATTAAACTGGAACGAAAAACATCCAGGAAAAAGGGAAACTTCAATGATATCAACTGTCTCCCGGATATTCTCATGGCTCTTGTAAAATTTTCTTCGGCGCACCAACTGCACTCGTGCTTCCGTGCCCTCGCTAAACGTCTGCAAATTCTCGCATGCTGTAATAAATTTAATTTGATCTGCTGCAACCATACTAGTTGTTTTAATCTGAATGCCGTAAATTGGTATGGATTCAAATGCATCTCGCGTGGCATACTGAGAGATGCAGTTCCTCTAACGAAAATTATTATCTTACGTGGCGCAGAGATGGAGTTCCTTTAACGACAAATATGGCGTTTGAGTGTAGAAAGATTACACATGTTCTGTATGGAGAAATGAACTTTCAGAATACTTTCTTCTCACCACTTGTGTTTCTTAAGCCTCGCCACTCAGAAACTAAATTCATGAACAGCTCCCAGCCGAAAATTAAGTTAAGAGGTAATTCAAGGATAGTCGCAGATTCTTTAAAGGATCATTCTATCATCAAGTTGATTGAATGAACCTTAAAGTTTATTCAGTAATAGTAGATTTCCATTTCCTGAATTGCGTCCAGTTTGTATTGAACTAATAATAAATTTATCGTCAATATTCCTTATCTTTACTCAAGGTTGATTACAACTTAATTTCGTTTTGATAACCTTATCACAAGTTTGACGCGTGCCTGGTTGAACCACGAAGCCAAATGTTCAGACAACGTGCGTTGACGATGTACTTTGGTGTAGATTAAAAAGTATTTTAATCAAATCCATGCTGATATAATCGAACTTCTGACTGCAATAAAGCCGTTCTGCTGACAAATATCAGCACATTGAATGGTAGCGAAAACGGTTTTATACTAAAAGCAAACCAGTCTGAACCAGGCTTGAAGTATAGCTAAATATTTCCTAACATCTTCCTGTTTACTTGCAAATCACAGATGATAGAAGCCAAACAACATCTGTCACTTCCATTAACCACACGGCACGCGAACAGAAATTCTTACCACGCCTCCTACAGCTTATCAGACATTCTAAAGCGTTTGATCTCATAAAGTTTAATAGGAAAATTACAGTCATATGTGCGCTTTAGTACACTACAATAAATTGATATCACGTAGTTTGCCTCGAGGAAATTATCTGAACTACTGTCAAACGTTCTTCGACCGCAAAAACGGCTAAATGTGTTGACCTTATTAATCACAATGACGACGATAGAGCCATTTATTGATGCATGGTTATTTTGATATTCATTTGTAGAAAAATTAGTGATTTTAGGAAAATATATTCAACTTCTATAGAGAGTAAGGGCAAGCAGAGCGTCAAGTTGATTTTGACCCAAATGATAAGTTATTTGCATTAATGAGTTTAACTGAGTACGTGCTTGGTGAGATTAGTCTGTTTGTGTCAAAATTTCACTTTTGCCGAGCTCTCGCGTTGATTTTTTCAATTATCGATCGGCGGGTAGCATCTACGACTGGCTTCTAATTTCTTCTCCCTTTTTTTCTATTTGTCTTTTTTTGTTTGTTTAGCGTAGCCCACCAGTTGGTTAATTGTGTTTCTTGGGGACTATACGTGAACAGCATATGTTATAAATTGCTCTCTCATAGTACATTAAGTCTGGAACAAATCTTTTATTTCACTGAAAATGATCGCAATGTAATATAAGCCCGTTTAAGAGATAAACAGAACCTGGGTGAGCAGCGAGCTGCCAAAGAAGAATATTACAGAAGTGAAGAAGGGTTCTGTGGCAGTGACCATATGTATTTCAGGACGGAACGAAGACAATGAGTAAGTGGTCATTGGTTGAGTGTTATTCCCCTTCGTATCCAGATTTTGAAATGGCACAAAATAATCAGCCTATGGACTGAGTCGCTGAATTTACTTTAGGGAAGCTCTTTGAGTACGAGTAGTGTCAGAAACGACATGAATCAGCCGAAGTACTTTTTGCTTAGGTTTTTTTTATTTGTATCGTTTGCATTTTTTCGTTCCTTAATCAAAACCACTAACCTGAAGTTCGAAAACCAATAATATAAGATATATTATTGGTTAATTGCACAAGGTCTCGAAACGACGGATAGTCGTATTCGCAAGCAGTTTTCGTGTTTTTGTCGACAGTATTTCCAAGTTTTGTATCTAACAAGATTCAGTTGAAACTTGAGGTCGACATTAAGTTGGACGACAACCGGCTTTCCAGTACTCGTGGTTTTGGATAATCTGGTATATGTAGGCTTTAAGAATCGATCTGAATGTCGGCTGCAAGGCAAATTATCTTAAATACTTCAATTGTCAACAAATTGCAGAACATGCAGTTTTCGAGTTCTCCCTTTTTCTTCCTTAGGGAAGGTACGTTTTTTCTTGGGGAGGGGGGGAGGGCTGGGGCCTCAGAGGGGAGGGTCATAAGTGAAAGTGAGCACCAAAGGGGGAGGGCCATACCCTCTTTTTCAGCTATTCAAGGGGAGGGTCACACCTTTTCCAGAATTTTTAATGGGGATATTTGTGATGTTATTTTCCATTTTTCTTTAACAGACTAAGTTTTTTCTTTTCAACTTGTTTCTTTTAATTCGGTGCAGATACTAGTTTTACAAGGTTACTGAGTGTCTACATGTATATTATACTTCCATATTAAACTTATTATTATATTTGTTATATATATGTATATATATTATATATGTATATATATTATATATATATATGTATATTATACTTCCACTAAACCCTAAGCAAAACTTCATCTATATAAAAAAAAGTAAAGCCCGGATCCCACACTTATCGTTCGCATTTTCTTGTTTCAGCGCGCACATATTCAATATCGAGATTTATTCATATTCAAACATTTTGCGTTTTCAAGCAAAATGTCGAAAAATGTTCTGAGGTTTCTATGGCATGGAGCATACCATGTGGTAGTGAGGGGAGGGTCACACTTTTGTCAGTCACCTAAAAGTGGGGGGGGCCAGGAATTTTTTAATCAAAACATGAGGGAGGGCCAACACTTTCTTTCGGAAAAAATACCAAAATTCCCCATCCCTCCCCCCCCCAAGAAAAAACGTACCTTCCCTTAATCCAGAAAACGCTCAGTATGAAATGGGGGGGGGGGGGGGGTTTTGGCTCTCATGCGTCGAAAAGTGGGTTTTCCTGCGTGCTTAGTCATTTTTGTTTGCTCTTGTTAATGTTGATTTTCAAGTGTTGTCGTTATAATCTTTTTATTGAGCCTACTGATTTAAAAAGGAAAGAAAAAAAAAAAAGCGTCACTTATTTTTAGAAACTTCTTTCGAAATTCTGCACAGCTATCTAGTTTCCCTCGACTGATTCCATATGTTCTGTTTGAGGTTAATGTTCCCAACCTCAACAGGCAAAAGTCCAAGTCGCATATTTCTACTGACTTTTCATTGCGGAAAACGTGTTTCAAGGTGAGCTTTCCAACAGGTTATGTCATTTTCTGAGAGTGATAGCGTAACATCTCGTTAAACGCAGTTAAGATTCATGATGAGATGTGAGCTACATGTTGTGATACGAGGGATCCTCTGAATTCTTTCCAATTTTGACATAGTTTGCAAATTTAAGAGTGTTCTCGATCACGAGTTCTTTAAACATCTGTATGTTTACTGTAATTACAGCTAATTAAGGCAGTCACTAAGATGATGTTCATCAAACTTATTCTTGTCGGCGCCAGAAGACAGCATGCACAAATCCCAGTCAAAGCGAGAATACCTATAGCAAGTATTACGTGATAAAACAAATTAATTCCATTTCACAAATTGGCTTGGCATAAGATTTAAGGTAAACTCTCGAGCGCTGGCAAACCCGCAAGATAACTTTGTGGTTACGACCGGAAAATGACGATCTCAGAGACTTACTTTAGCCAATCAAGCGCCCAAGTGATTATCATCTTAAAACTTAGCAACTGAAAATTGCCGTTCAATTACTTAGTGATTGATCAAATTCAAACAGGGCTAGTGTATGGCTTGATTTTGCAATCCCTAAAGAGATTTGGAATAGAATAGGACACAGTCAATTTAAAACAAAATTGACGAGTTTATGGGTTGAGCAGATTACTCTTGTACAGAATCACCATGGTGAAAGAAAAAAAAACATGTATCACAGTAATAAATAATGCCCTTAACAGAGCACATGTAATTTTAAATTGCATCGTTTATGGTTAAAACAATTCGACGCCAGAAGAAAGTTTGTAGCATAAGCAAATGAAGGGAGCGTCTAACTGTTTCGAATGAAGCCTGCGGATCCTTATATTGAGTAGCATGATCTAATCTCGAAACTGACACATGGAAAGCATTGTTATTCAGTCATGCCTGATAATTCCATCTCGTCCCAAGGAGATGCCGAACATAGCCTATCTTCCTCTTTGAAGTGAGAAGAAATAACACTGGGAATAAGCCGGCTTAAGGCGATTATCACTCGTTTCATTCAGCTAGAATCGGTCAAAAAGCTCATGATTATAGATGAGTTCCTAATACAAGATCTCAGCTGTACCGATGTAAGACTTCCTTGCTATAGGAAAATTGAGAGAAAGCAAAGCATTACACTACAACCAATTCGAGCGAAAAAAGAGTTGAAAGCAGCAGCAACAGTTAGATAAAGAAAATAAACTTAAAAATGCAATCAAACTTAGAGAGCTACTAAGTCAAGTGCAACAACCTTTAAGTAGTTGGAAAACCACAAATGCCACTGTTAGTGAAAAGCAGACATTGTTCATCATATGCCGTGTTGTTATGAACAAGTCCATCCCATGATTCTCAGATACATGTCGGAATGCCATCCGTCAGAATAGTCGAGGAGCTTGGTAAAAAAATCTTCATTTGGAAACGGAATCGAAATAAGGCTGATACAAATCAATCAAAAAGACTGTCTGAAGGCGGGGTTGTTCAGGAATCACCTAAATTTCGGCTATAAAAACTAAAGGAGGCCGGTAAACAATGATTTGACAAAGTACCTGGCTAATGTCGTAGACACATGGCCGTCTGTGTTGCTAAAGCTTTAAACGCAGAAAACAAGGCCATTTGTCTCAGTTAAGCGTGTTCGAACACAACGTTGCTCTGAAGTTGGCTCAGTACGGCTCGAATCTCCAGGTTACTTTTTATGCATATTTTTTTTTTTCCTTAGAAAACTGATGTAAATTTTATAAATAATTTAGGGGGATTATGGCATTTTGTTAGGGTTGGTCTAACTGTGAACCGTAAACTGAGCCACTTCCCATGACTGATATCGTAGCACTGAAATTGAAAAGTGACAAGAACTTCCCTTCAATGTGTTTCCGTATTCCTTTTCTAACCCTAAGTAAATTTGCAACTTGAATTCATCAGGGAAAATAAGTGTTAGGAAGGTGCATATGTAATCCACTGAAAATCAGCCGGTCAATAAGGATTATTACTTACGCAAGATATTTTTGCTTAAGTTCACCAAATGCTAGGATCAAATTTGGTTATATTTATCTTCAAGATGTTGAGAAACATGAGGCTTGAAATTGGCGCAAAATATTACACTATTTTATGCAACTATAGGCAACTAATGAGAACCCTTTAAACGTTACGATACCAAAACCGCATAAACCATACTTTCAAAAAATGCGTGAGAAACATAGATATGAGATATGTTTAGTTAACCAGACTTATAATCTGAGCTTAATGGGAGGTCATGGACCTTAAAGAGGTTTCAAAAACAACCTAAAGATATCACTTACGATTTTCATCTCAGTGCGAACGACTCTTACCGCATTCCATCAATACCAGTGCCATCGGCTGCGGCTTGAAGGATTTGTCATTTTCAAAGAGGGGTCAAGCTCTAAGGAATGGATACGTGATTCTGACATTACAAACCTCAAAACAGAAAAGCATTCGTTGTTCTATGTAAAGACATCACTGTGTTATGTATCTATTTCTGTCTCAACGTTTCTTTGATGACTGACTTAATAATAGATTGTCATTGAGCATCAAACATAACCGCTGTGCGGACACATGATACCAAACTTAATCTCCTCTCACAACATAGTCGCAAGATACACAGTAACATATAATGCATTCCTCGTGGTCAATGATCGTGCGTAATGCGGAATGCGCCCATAGTTGCTAGGATGTGGAATATTTCCAGACGTTTTCTGACAAGGGAAAACCAAAATTCCGCCGCCTCGTTCTCAGCGGAAGCTCGTTATAAAAGCATCTACCTTGATCTCGCACGGTACAATCAGTGTAGGTTTTCAAAGGCTTGCGAGCGACTTCCCTTTGCAATATTGTTGTCTGTTTCAAGGAGTCGCTTTTTCCAGTGATCATAAGGTAGGTTGAAAACAAATTTCAATCTGGTTAATATTCACTTCCTAATTAGGCAGGTAGTGGTAGGAACCAGATGCTGACAGAAAGGGATATTAATTAAAAAGATTTAACATTCTTAGAAAATCAAATATACCCATTATCTTATGGCTCGTTTGTCCGCCTTCGCGATAGCGGCATTGAGTGATCGAAAGTTGGAGCGTGATAAGCGCACGTGGGCCGCTGAGACAGTTTCCCTTACGGCAAGAATGTACCAGTGTTTAACAGATACCGCACACCTTCAATTTTCTTGAGCCTAGTTAATCTCTCTTTTCGTAATCTTCGTCTTTTTAGGTAATTGTTGGCGTTCTCACTAATCAACGATTAGTGTCAGCGGAGTACTCCGCACGCAATCTTTCTATCAAAAATGTTTGTAGTGCTCGAGTGGCCCTCTTTGTCATGGACGCCGCTCTCTTTCCTACCGTCTGTATTTGCAATCGCAGTCTTCAGCATCGCAGTTTCTTTCATCTTTGTTCTGGGAAGAGCTTACTCTCAAGTCCGTAACTTTGATGGTCCACCATGCCATCTAATCAAAGGACATTTAGAACAGGTAAGACTGAGTAAGACCATATTTGGTCTTTGACATTCGCTATCTTTATATTGTATATTGCCGCTTTGCTCATAAATTGTTTGCCCTATTTAGGATTTAAAAAGATATTCCTTGCAAATGATTTGTTTGACGTTGCACTTCACTATGAAGAGGACACAAAGTAGAATAGCATCTTAAGCCCATGTCCGTTACACTACCGTCAAAAATTTAAGTATTCGCCATGATAAGCTTCCACCAGGGCGAATCGAGCATTTTTTGATGAAAATCACTTCGGACGATTACTTTTTGAAATCTACGAGAGATCAAGTCTCACGAGCGTTGTGATCCATTGCATTCCAAGCTGATCCTGCTTTCTATAGCATAAGCGCCTAAGAGAAACCCTCTTACTAACGTTCTTGGACGAGATTTTTCACTAGTAGTGAGTTGGAAAACCGAGCAAATGGGGTTTTGCAGAATTTAACCAAGGTTACTAAGCTCACAGATTTATTAAGTTATCAAACTTTATATTTTAAATAATGAGATAAAAGTCAGTGAGGAAGTCGCCAAATTTACTGCCAAAATTATGGAAGCTTAAGGCTTTGTTAGGGAAAATGTGCTGTCCTCTTCTAGATTCCGAAAATATATTGTTTTTAGCTAGTTTGGGAAACAGTGATATCAAATGAATCTAATCTGTTCTTTAGCAGAAAAATCAAATGAGTCTCATTTGGTAGTAATAAGCCCTGACTCGTATGTCTTTCCTCGCTTTAACAATTAAACAAAGCATTTCCGGTTTACTTTGATGTGAACGTTAAATAAAGTCCGGACTTGTTTACTCAGTGACCGCAATGCCCTAAGGCAGCGAACCGCAAAAATACAACTGACATAATAGTTTCCGCCTGTTGCAACCTTTTGAAAGTCAAAACCATCGATAAGGAGGTGCTGTTTGCTTACTGGTGTTTGTTTACGTGTTAAACTTGGCGCCTGTCGAATGTAGACCATGTGCGAAGTAACACACTTTTTCCAGGGCGCCAAAGTAGACCCTTTTGTCACATAAAAAGTGTAGATCAATTAAAAAGTTAAGCCATCGGATTTTTAATTTTTTTACATGGTGGCCATAACCTTGTGGTTGTTTTCAGTACTGAAAAAGTATTTTGTTTAAAACACTGCAGGATTCTGTTGCACCATGCAATATTTGAACCAAACGTCATTTTAGATCTTTATAGCTCCATGACGAGGGGATTCGCTTGACGCGGAAAGGGAAACGTGGGAATTTGCTTTTCATAAATGCACAGTGAACGCTCAATTCATACAACAGTCTCGAAACCAGAATAACTACTTTCTGTGTGAAGATAAGCGGGTTGGGCATAATTATGACATGAAGAGTCAGTCAGTGCATGATCTTATGGTATCCTTTTAAGCCTTTAAGTTCAAGGAAAGAGCTTTATTTTTCCTGGGGAGAAATATGCGTATCTTCAGACGCAAAGATTTGTCATTGGATCACCCAAGGTTTATTCTCTTCAGACGTTCAGTTTTAGTAGGCTGTTCCGTTCAAGAATCAAAGATCTTGTCTGGACTTTTCATCAAGTCCTAAACCAAAGCAATGAAAGAGACTCTCGAGTTTTCGTGGTTTAGAGGTATTATCCTTGTCATGTACATACGTCATCACACCTTATAATCACATACTTTTGGGTTGACATTATGAATAAGTGATGTATGTCACTGGCGATAAGAGATCAGCTTAAGAGGGTGGTTTGTTTTATTTGTCAGCCAACGTAGTGCTTCACATGCTTAAAATTAGGGAACAAACACTGAGAGTTAATGACCACATGGTTCCACTGAGACGATCAGGGGTTTGAGTAATCATCACTTGTTCTTCGGTAGTATCAGTGTAATGGAGCATTTATAAAATTCCAATTAGAAATGATTTGTAATTAAAATTGTGGCAGTTACTTAATCCTGTTGATTCAGTGATTATGATGTGTGTTACATGAAGTGTGCGCCAGGGGTTATATCAGCTTTTATTGGAACCTATTAGCAGGACTGATGTTGTATCTTCTTAGTTTGTTTTCTACAAGCTTATACTTCTAGAAGCCTTATAACCGCTTACTCCATAAACGTAAACAAAAACGTGTTCAAGGTCGTAGCAAATAAATATTTGGTCACCCAAACTATGTGTACATTCCCTCAAGGCACGCACCTAGACCAAACATACTTTTTTACTTATAGCAAAAACATGTCGCTTGAAAAACGAAATCAAGTCAAAGGGTAACGGTTGTTCTTAAATTTACGCTTAATGTTTACCGCAGGCTACATTCGATGGTCAAGGGCTTCGTTTTCACCAAAAGTGTACAGAGCTTTACAAGACAGCTTATCGTGTTTGGTTTGGACCTTTAAAGTCGGCGGTCGTTCTCTGTCACCCTGATGCTGTGAAACCGTTGCTGGCGACCACTTTTAAAGATCGAACTGTCAGCCGCCTGTTGGCTGCATTTCTAGGTACATCAATCGACAGTGTTTATACTTGAGATAGAAAAAATGAAAGTGTTTTGTATTGGTTCTCAAATCTTGAAAGAAAATTCTAAATTGTTTACGTCTTTATTTTTTAGCTCGTGTTATTAGATCAATTCGCAGCCTTTCTTTAAAAATAAAATAAAGAAATGATTCTCGCTGATGCGCTGCAATTTTCAATCCGCTGGTCGAATGAAATTCCTTTACGGGAAAAAGGAACCCTCTTAAATTTGCCTCGCTCCCTATGTATGGCTTCGTTGCTCAGTTGGAGCTTAAATTTTTTCCTTTTTCAGCTTTGTGTTTCTGCAATTTCTGAGATTGCAGCTCACCTGCGAAGATAATCGCGTTGTTTTATTCAGTCGGAGGATTAATCACGAGCTGAATTACCATAATGGAGAGCTTCAAGTTAGTTTTTTCCCGCGGCTAGACTGTTTTGTATCTGTAGTCGGTCAACGTTTTCCTTTTTCCTTTATTTTTATATCTTTTTTAACTTTAATTGGATATTTTTCGGACTTTTAGGTGTTGGTCTCGGTCTCCAAGAAGGAGAGAGATGGAAAAATTCGCGGAGACTTCTAACTCCAGCTTTCCACTTCGAAACTATCCAACCATACATCAAGATTTTCCAAGAATCTGCAGATATTTTATTGGTAAATAGATAACTTGTATATGATAATCAAAGTCACTGGAGATAACTATTGCTCCTATTTTAATGTTTGGAAAAAAATCGGCAGAGTGGCTAATCGCTGACGCCTAACAGCGAGCGACAACGGCCAGCTGATTCAGTGAATGCCCCATATTATATAAAGGAGTGACTTCGATGCAGATGAAGTTAAGGAAACCTCGATTAACTAAGGTGTTACAAGCCTGAAGTCTTTTGTGTTTCCCAAAAATGATTAAATAAATAAATAAAAGATCAATTAAAAACAAGAACAAGCGTGAGTGAGGTTTTATATCTTTCACTGCTAAATGAACTCTAAGAAAATCGACATATTGCAAATTCAAAGATTTTCCATTTGCAGGCGTTTATATCTCTGATCAAATACATATTCTCTCGATTATGTTATTACTTTTCAGGGTAAATGGGCGTCGTCCCCGAGCAGAGAGGTGGAGCTCTTTCATGATATAGGGTTGCTGACGTTTGACTCCATCTTGAAATGCGCCTTCAGTTACTGGAGTGACTGTCAAGTGAAAAGATAATTTGCTTTATTGTTTATTATTTAATTTGCATCTGACTTCTCATGAATAGTTGCACTGCGCGGAGATGTATCCAGAAATGCATGCAATAACGAAAATGGCGAAAATTCGTCAAAATCGTCAATTCCGTCAAGATGATTTCGCTTTGACGAATTTGACTAAAAATCACCAAAATCGTCAAATCCATGAACATTGACTCGGTTTGACGATAGAAAAGTGGAGAGTTGCGCTAGTTAGTGCAAAGCTAAATTGTCAACGGGCTTGACTTGATAGGGAAAGGTATCGATTTTTTTGTTTCCTCGACTCTGGCGTAAGAAAGAATCGCAGCCAACAGTTGGGAAACTTAACGATATGCTCGGAGGTAATCGTTAAAAGACCGGCGAAGGGGGTGGGGGGTGGGGGGGAAGAGAGAGGCTACGCAAATGATCTCGTCGTGGCTTTGATGCCATGTTCTGCTAATTGGTAATTCAATACAAGGGGCGTGGATTTCTTTCATGAATGTATACGCTGGGATTTGGGCTGGTAGGAAAGTCTGTCCAAAATTGGGGTGCACTCGGAAACATTTTGCGAAGGATGGCGTTGTGTTGTTGACTTTAAGAACCGTCGATGTTCTTGAAGACGAGATTAGACTCGTGGGTTCTGATGGGGTGAAAATGGCCTCGGCAGAACTCTTTGCCTTTCTCTTGTGGTAATTTGTATTAAGCTGAAGGTTCAGTCAGTCATCAAGCAGGTACTTATCTCCAATGTTATTGTTTTCCTCAGCACACCTGACTCCTTCCTGAGAGCCGTTCACGAAAATACTCAAGCAATTATGGATCGGTTTCGGTAACAAAGTTTTATCATCATCATTATCACCATTTTAATTATCATCATTACCATAGTTTTCAGTTACCTACTAATCTCTCTGATCGTTGACCATTTGACATGTTTTACCCTCAAAAGACCTCCAAGAAGTTTTCAAAAAATTTCAGGAAGAAGTTCTCAGATTTTGTCATGAATGTGCCGCTATACTCCGTTGTAAACGTTTTGGAATCAAAAAAGGTTGTCTCCCTTGCCAAGTTACAACATGATTTTACGTGAAATAGGAAAATCAAACCGTTTCGCTGACACTTTTTATTAACAACTTCAAGGAACATTAAGAGTTAAAAAAATTATCAAAGTGTTGATGAAACTCTTTCTCTAATCAGGACTCCTCTGCACCATTCAGATTTTGTTTACAATCTGACGTCCGCGGGAAGAAGGTTCAAAAAGAATTCTGAGATTGTTGGTTGCAAGGCAGATGAAATTATCAAGAAAAGAAGAAAGGCTCTGATGGAAAGGGTAATCGATGGATGATAATATAGCGAGAGCCACACATCGCTAGGCCGTTTTACTATACATGCCTTGCAACAATTCTGTTATACATTTTTGAGACTTACAGTATTATGCATACAATAGTCATTTATTAATACATCAGCATCAATATTTCTTACTCCCCGTTTAGGAGCAATAAATATTAATTTGTTCTAAGGCTTCAACCTCGTACTTGGCCGGGCCTAACCAGTTGATGATCGAGCATAGAGACTGAATCCTCCCAGCGTATGTGCCCAAGTCAGTTTAGATTATTACCGTTTCCGAAGATCCTATGAGGATCCAGAAATATCCATCCTGCTTCCCAAATTTTTCTCATCTGCTCATTGCATTCTGCTTCAGCAAGAAACTCAACACGTGCAGAAAAAAGGGTTTCTCAAGTTCGAGCGTCCTGTGTATATTTGCATGATAAGTTCCTTGACAACACAACTGATGAAAATTTCAATTTTTAGCCAGAAGAAGAGGCTTTGAGAAGACAAGAGCATTTTGACTTCCTCGACATTCTTCTTGAAGCCAGGGTATGATTGCCTTACACCTCTGTGTGTTGACTGTTACACCTTTTATATCACGACTTTGAAGAACCAATTGAAATTCCTTAGAGGCCGTCAACAACGAACAAAGCTTCACAGATTATTTATTGATTCTTAAATCGCTGGCTCTATAACTGCCTATTATCTCTCCTGATTTGTGATATAATACCACATTTATATCATCATATTCATATTTTTCCTTTTTATTTTTTAAGCGCGATGATGGACAAGGATTAACGGATGAAGAGATTCGAGCTGAAGTAAGAACATTCATGTTTGCGGGACTTGACACGGTGACCAGTGGTAAATGCTGCTTTCATTATATTGATCAATGCATGATTCTTCGTACTTTTGGATTTTTTAGTTGGAGAATAAATCACTGAATTGTTCTCCTGACGTGATTTAGAGGATGAAAGAGTTAATCAAGGACAATTTTCGACAAAATTTTGCCGTTGCATCACTTAAAACTGATTTGATTATATCTTGACCATACGTCGAGTCAAAAATTGTGAAGATTAATTGACCCTTGAAGTCCCATTAGCGACTAAGACAAAATTTCTCCTTACAATATCAATACGATATCAAACAGACAAGCGATGGGAATACAAAAAAATATCAATTACGGGATTATAAGTTGATCCAATACCAAATTCTCCAAACTAACTTGTATGGCAGGCAGACAGTAAGGAGAGTTACTAATGAGATCTTGGGAGTTAAAGGGTTTATCAATAAAGGGCAAAATTACTGAGCGCTGATTGGTTGAGAGAGAGGGCATTTTTTTCTTAATCGAGGGCATTTTTAGTAATCAAGAGAGGGCATGATTACCTGTTAATGATTGGCTAATCCGTTGCTTCCCAGATAAAAATAGACTGCGCGCGTGATTTTCCTTCGTATAAATTTTGCCCTTTATTGATAAACAAGTAATCCCATGAGACCTCGTACTATTAAGGATTAATTGCACTTGAGTTTTCAAAATTTTCCAAATTGCCCTCGTCGCTTCGCGACTCGGGCAATTTTGGAAAATTTTGAAAACTCTCGTGCAATTAATCCTTAATAGTACTTGGCCTCATGTGATTACCTATACTAAATGAGACTTGAACCTCTTGTGGTTTGTGTGTAGGCTAGAGTTCAAATTTTATTCTACATGTAATTGTCTTTGTTTCGAACTGATGTATCATACATAAATGTAGCTGCCCACAGTTTAACGAAAATGAAACCAATATTGAAAGAAATGAACCGCAAGATATGTATGTTGATATTTCAAAATACGCTGCGATTTAATCAAATGGTAATATGTCTTGTTCCTACAGCAATCAGCTGGATCCTCTACTGCCTGGCCCTCTACCCTGAGCACCAGCGGAAATGCCGGGAAGAAATTGATTTACTTTTTGAAAATGGAAATGATTTACAACGGTGAGTCAAACTTTGCCAAAAGGAAAAAAATCACTATACTTACTAATTTATCTCAAAAGGTGAGGAAAAATGCACTAATCTGTCGAATAAGGTCTTCACTTCGCATCCACAGTTAATGCATCGGATGTTCTCAGACCATTCCACAGACCATAAAACTATGTAACTGTGTAAAATCCAACTGAAAAACCTAAAGATTAAGATCCTTCTCATGACTGTTAAATTATAGTTGATTCGGTTCTGTTCGGTTGCCTGTGTTTTATGATATGAAATGGCGCAAGTGTTTTATAATTCCTACTGTTTCCTCCACAGAGCGGATCTCTGCAACGTTCCTTATCTCAAGCTTTGCATCAATGAGTCAATGCGTCTGTACACCCCAGTTCCGATTATATGTCGTTTATCGGACAAGGAATATGAAATTCAAGGAAGAACCCTCCCTTCAGGTATATAAATTAAGGCAGTACATCAAGCAGATATGTCATGGCAATATGTTCCAGAAGTGAGAATATAAAGTAAAGGAACATTTGGGGCGAGTTTTAAACTCGAGTTGCGTTCTTGCACAACTCTTGGAACTAAATCAGATGTTTTTGTGTGTAAAAAAGGTGAAAAAACTGACAATCTGGAAACAGTATTTGACAGCTTGATACCAGAAGAAGATAATAAAGGCAATAGATGATTGACGATGATTAATTATTTTGACACAGGTACTTTTCTGTATGTCAACATCTTCGCTATTCATCGTAACCCTTACATTTGGAAAAATCCAGAGGTGAGTTCGCATAAAAATGCAGTCACGCGCCTCTCACAAATCACTCGGAACTGTTGCTTACCAATAATAAAAGCCTTAAGATGTTGTTACGGCTTTCCTTTTCGCGTCAGTATGGCAAGCATACGTTTTTTCTCCATTCTTTTTAATTTTTGAAGAGGCTAGGGTGTGGTTGTAAACGTGACAAAACATCTTTGCAAATGTTGCCTGACTGCAACAGTTCCTCTTACTTCATCATTCTTTTTCACCACAGCTTTATGCTAAAAGCGACCTATACAAAAAAAAGGCATATAGGGAATGGACTTGGTAGCTTGGCTGTAATTTAAATGGAATTAAATTAGCCGTCTCATGTGATTTATTTCACTCCTAGGTATTTGATCCTTTGCGGTTCACAGAGGAGAACACCAAAAAACGGCCATCGCACACTTTCATTCCCTTTTCATCCGGGAGAAGGTAAATTTCTATCTTTCAAAAATCACAAATGAGATACTACACGTTGCAGGATTTTTTACTCCGAATGTTCAGGGAACTTTGATGTGTTGATGGTATTCGGTTATTCTAATTATCCATACCTGTCTAAACTTCCAATTTCTTGTTGATTTTGTAACCAATCAGTACGAAAATATAAAATACCATATCTAACGGGTAAGTAATTTTACTCGACCCATCGACCACATCATACAATCTTATGGTATAACAATTTGGATCATTCAATTTGCTCTATTATAAGACTGATCTGCTCACCAGTTTTAAAAATAGTTCCTCCGATTTTAATAGCACACACGTATTGTCACATTTCTGATGTAGAAATCAAAGTTTCCTAATTTCTGAGCACCATCCTTTCTCAGATATAAATCTCATTTCAAATTGGTGTTTCAGAAACTGTATAGGAAAGAATTTTGCAATGGCGGAGATCAAATCTACAATAGCTATGATATTGCATCGGTAAGTCAAGGAAAATAAATAAACTATATTGCCTCAATTTTTTCGGTCGAATACAAAGGCGAAGATACCTTTTTCAGGAGAGGAGAAAGAGAAACTCATTTCGTTGTGGAGTAAAGTAGAAGTTCTTCAATAATCGGCGCATGGAATACTTTAATGGGGAGTGAAAACGTACGGTATTTTGGCATGTTGTGGGTGAAAATGTCGTGCGCGTGTAATCAAAGGGTCCTGAGACGTGTCATCTGCCTGTCACAAGCTTGTCGCATGCCGCAAAGTTGTGCCGTGTTAATCGGCCCTGGTGTCATAGTAAATCGTATCATTTTTTTTTTATTTTCGGCATTTTAGGTTTGAGCTTACGGTTAGTGAAGATAATATGGTGTCAATGGAGGACCTTCTCACAGTACTTGTATTACGTAGTAAGAAGGGACTAAAAGTTAACGTTACCCCAAGAGATCACAACCATAATTCACCGACGGTTTGTTCTGAACGAGCAAACATAAAGTGCTGACTCGACATTCAGGACGAGCCTTTCTTCCTCTTTTTTTTCAAAACAGACTGAAGCTTCAGGCTGAGTCAGCAAAAGTTAAGAATGTTCAGACTCTTGCATCCTTTTTTAAAACTCAAGAGAGTAGGAATCAACGCTGTACCATAAAAAAAAAATGCGTATACATAAATTTGAACTTCAATGTAACCAAACGGTTACCGTTACTTATTTATTTCTGCAAAACACACGCTGTGAGTGCGGATAAAAGTATTCTGCTGAATGGAAATTATATGCAAATAGCGATATTTTAATGAACACAGGTAATAAGGTAGCTAGGATCTCACTCACTCAAAGCTTCCTTTTATTTACTTTTGTTATCAATGTATTCTGGACCGAGAATTGCTAAAGGAAAATCTAAAATATATCATTTAATTATCGATATAATTACATTATTTTACATCAATATCATAGAAGCGTTTTATTTTTGTGATTAGATGGTAAAAATGCCAATCAAAATTGGCATTTTACACCTCATTTGTCTAGAATAAACAGTAGTTACTTTTTGTCATTTGTTCCAAAAATTGGGCAAATAAAAATGATGAAAATAAAAACGAATTATACCGTTATACTAGATAAATATAGTACTAAATCTTTAAGAGGCGAACTCTGTAAGAGCGGTCCAGGGTATTTCACATCGGAAAAAAAGTTTTCCCTCAAACTTTGCCCAATAAACTATCTTTGGTAGCAAGTAAATAAAACCACATTAGTTTCTGGAAATACGTTAAAATAAAATTTTTAGAGCTCTCAAAAGTCAAAGCTGCTAGAGGCCCTTTTTTGACCTCTTGCGACATCGAAAATTTCAAAAGTTGAATAACCTGGTCCTCGTATCACACCGCATGCAGCAAAAAATCTTTTGTATTTTTAAACTGTGTGATATGTTAGGTGAATAAAAAATATTTCAATTTTGATATTTGTTTATTTAGGGGTTCGTCATAATTTAGTTAAAAACACTCGTTAGACAGCTTTCTGGAATTGGTCAAAAGTACTCTTTCCTTCTTGGTTGATATTGCTCAAGTCCAGATCAGACCATTAAAAACTCTGCTTGATTTCTTCTAATATGATGTTTGGCTGCAGAAAAATATAAAAACATCTTGCACTTATTAATTTTGTTCGCCGCGGTGACTTCAAACTTTCAGCGATTTTGCTAGCGTGACAGCCGATTATGCAAATTAGTTCATTGAACAAACTCCGACCGTTTTATATAAGTAGCTCAATAAATCTTAGATTTTAACCATTTTAAGTTGAAAAGATAGTAGGACAGAGCTTTTAGACTACACCGATTGATACTCTAAACATTTCAAAAGGGCAGAATTTGACAAATTTTACCCTCTCGTGACGCAATAATTTGATTAGCGCTCGCCTAACATTTTAATGGCAAACTCTTTTTTAAAAATTTGGCTTCTGCTATTTCATGCATATTTGAGTTCTGACAGCTTACGCTATTCAAACCTGTACGAACATTTTAGAACCAAACAACAGGATTCCATTTAGCGTAACCGGCCATAACAGCACACACTGAAATACACCGTGAACCGTGACTCTGTCACGTAATTCCATCGCATGATTGTCCTGAATACCTCTCAAGTCTAAGTAAAGCAGCGATTGCTCGAATTTCTAGCAGACAGGAACAAATGATATTTGGTCGTCACACCTGTCTGCATAGCAGTCGCTGTTCATAACTTTGGAGAGTTCTTGTGAAAAAGGATATCGCATTCGCTTATCGGGTGAACGTCATAATAAGACTGCATTACAACTCCACTCCGAAATCATTTCCTCCATTTTTGCTAGTAGTGTTGTCTTTGTATCTCGAATTTTGAATGCGAGCTCAAAATGTTTGCACATGTCTCTTAGTACCTTGACTTTTAGGCTGGGCAACCTTCACCCTCTTGCCAACGAGCACACATCATAGACATCAAACATGATTGGATGTTTCAGTCCTATCTCATCCATTACTGTGTTCCTGGCCTCTCTCAAACACGAGTACTGCCTGACGGTTTGCGAAAGCCGTACACTTGCACCTCTCGTATGAAGAGCTCATCCCATGGGAAGCTGTGAAGCACTTGTCAAGGGTTCTGTGGCCACTGCAACCAGTTCAGTCGAACCCTCTAATGACAATGACTGAAAGTGATGAACCCACTCCCTCTTCACTTTGCCATAAAGACTTTCAGTCATGCTCGCAGACACAGGACTTACATGATGAAATACCAAGTTCATATGGAGCTCTAGGTCGGATTCTGTGACGCAGGAGTTTTTCAACAGGCACCTCACTCTTCGCCTGTGCTCTTGCCTTCTTTATTTGTCTATCGGAGAGGTTTTCAAATGGCTGATGCATGCGTTTAAGCTCGTTGGCTGAAAATCTATCGGCATAAATACTCAGTATTTGAGTCCTAAGTGATTTTGTGGGAGCATTCTGATAGGCGACCGTAAGGGTTTGAAGGCCAACATCAATAGCTGTCTTGCACTTCTCTTCATGGTCTACGACCGCTTGGAATAACGCTTTTCCATCTCTTAGAGCAATGATATCGCACACCAGCTGGCACGCTTCCCCAGCTTTTTGAACAAACTCAGGTTTTTTGGGAAAGGAGCATTTTTCCCAACAATCTACTTGGGATTCCAAATGTGTAATCCTGGGCTTTTGTGCAACATCGGCGAGGCTATCAATATATGCATATAAGACTTGAATTGGATCTATGCTAAAGTTCTGAATAGAACTGTCTTAAAGACAGGTGTGCAGACAAACTTTCTCTTATTCCTGTCGACTAGAATTCTGATCCAAAAAATGATGTTATCGCTGCTTTATTTAGAAGGGAGAAGCAATTCAGGATAATTGCACAATTGAATTACGTGACAGAGTCACGGTTCACGGTGTATTTTAGTATGTGCTGGTATCGCCGGTTACACTAGATAGAATCCTGTAGTTTGGCTCTGAAATGTTCATACAGATTTGAATAGCATAACCAGTCAAAACTCAAATATGCATGAAATAGCAGAAGCCAAATTTTTAAAAAAGAGTTTGCCATTAAAATGTTAGGCGAGCGCTAATCAAATTATGATATTCGATGCATTGTTGTTGACGTCTTGCGTCACGAGAGGGTAAAATTTGTCAAATTCTGCCCTTTTGAAATGTTTAGAGTATCAATCGGTGTAGTCTAAAAGCTCTGTCCTACTATCTTTTCAACTTAAAATGGTTAAATTCTAAGATTTATTGAGCTACCTATATAAAACGGTCGGAGTTTGTTCAATGAACTAATTTGCATAATCGGCTGTCACGCTGGCAAAATCGCTGAAAGTTTGAAGTCACCGCAGCGAACAAAATTAATAAGTGCAAGATGTTTTTTATTTTTCTGCAGCCAAACATCATATTAGAAGAAATCAAGCGGAGTTTTTAATGGTCTGGTCTGGACTTGAGCAATATCAACCAAGAAGGAAAGAGTACTTTTGACCAATTTCAGAAAGCTGTTTTTAAATAAATTATGACGAACCCCTAAATAAACAAATATCAAAATTGAAATACTTTTTGTTCACCCAACATATCACACAGTTTAAAAATACAAAAGATTTTTTGCTGCATGCGGTGTGATACGAGGACCAGGGTATTCAACTTTTGAAATTTTCGATGTCGCAAGAGGTCAAAAAAGGGCCTTTAGCAGCTTTGACTTTTGAGAGCTCTAAAAATTTTATTTTAACGTATTTCCAGAAACTAATGTGGTTTTATTTACTTGCTACCAAAGATAGTTTATTGGGCAAAGTTTGAGGGAAAACTTTTTTCCGATGCGAAATACCTTGGACCGCTCTTACAGAGATCGCCTCTTAAAATGTGATGTTCTGAATAAAAATATTCCAATCTTTTTATTCCACCTACGTTTCTTGGCGTCGTTTTTGTATGGACGTATGAAGCAGATTGAAGCATGCCCCCAATGCGGGAGCGGATAACATGACTGGCACGCTCGTGTTTGGGCAAAATCCTTTTCAGGCCACAGTGTTTGAAGAAGGCTGTAAAATTTGTGATTTTTCCTCATATCTGTTGTGATCATGATAAATCGGATAAATGAATGTTTTTCTCGCCATACTGGGAGTCACTGGTAATTGTTGATAGAGATAGTGGTAACAGCTTATCATATAACCTAAACAATCAACAGCCTGTAACGATTCGTTTAACCATGGTATATAAAATCACACCATTTGCTTTCTTGCTGGGTTAGTTCACAAAAAACTCAAAATAACATACTGACCAATACTTAAAATCGAATTCAGCCTGTTTTCGATCCCTCATCCTAAATCAGTAAGCGTGGTTTTCTAAACTGCCTAAACTAGATGCTCCTTCATTTCATATTGTCTATCAGTAGCAGGTACCGACCACCTTACTCGCTTTTTGATCGTAAGCATCTGTGCTTCGGAGATTTCCATCCCGCTGTCACTGATGGTGTTGTAAGCATATTTTGGAATGGCTTTTTCAATTGGGTATGTGTTCCAGTTTACTGGGGGTAATGATATTTGAACTTAACCAGGTTCAAAACAGTAACGAGTTCTGTTCCATTTAATAGCGCTTTACGAGGGTCTCAGTGGGGTGATGGCTTTTACTTCTACTGATTAAAATTTTGGCCATTTTATGGCTAAAATTTAGTTTGACACTCAGATTAATGGCATATCGTAGATAGTTAAAACTTATGCGGTTAACTTCTGTAGCTATCGAAAGTTAAAATGTGCCAAATTTTAAGCCTACCGGCCAAAACGTTTTCTTTGCTGTTTTACGTCTAACGGTTGACCCGTTGAAACCCTCTTTTATGCTTACCCAATCAGCTGCTTAAAACACACTCACACACATACGAAACAACTGGAGATTGAGCTTTTAATGATTAATCTTATTAGTTGTTGAAACAGTGTTAAACGTCCTCACCTAAAGGTATTTACAACAGTTTATCACCATAACTACACAGTATTCCTTGTCTTGATCTATGAACTTAAGTCTAATTCTGTAGTAAAAATTTTTTTTTTTTTTTCGTTTTTATTAGCTATGAGTCTATCAGTTGATCACTTAATTTTCGGTCCCTCTATCATATATTATTTAAATATTCTAACAGTTCATCACCAGCAACCATTAGTCAAACCTTTTTACTTTCTTGGGATAAAATTTTACAGTTTCATTATCTCGAAGTCTCCAAATATAATCACAAGCACCATAAGTCTTGGTTCATTCCGAACATGTAAAACTCCATTTAAAAACTTGAAAACATTTAGCTCTTTTTGGGTCATTTTTACTTCTATGAAGAGTGACAAGGAGTTCGTTTATTTTAGAAATCATCATCATGATCATTTTACACCTTTACAAGAAATGTTGTTGAATCCTAACATCATAACTCAGCTCCCTTACGTGTCGATGACAAATGGGTTGCAGTATTGTAGCCGAATCTGATATCATTCATCGCTCAAGAAGAAAATTATATAATAGCACCTTATCACAAACCATTGACATCAGTTTGCCTGGTCTCGACATTTTTTGTACTTCTTTTTTTCTTTATGCAAGTCCAAATCCTAAAGAAAGACTTCCTTCGTAATGAGTGGCATCCTTTTCTTTTTCATTTGAAGACTAAGCGCTAAGTTTACCATTCTTTGAGTTATACTTTCCTCCTTAGATAGTGTGTAAATATGTTTAATAACGCAAATTTACTTGTCTTGCACATGCACAAAAAACACAGTAATTGATTGAGTGTGTATTGTAAACATCGCAGAGTGGTAAGAAACGTTGTCAATCAAATGACTGACATAGAATCGTAGCCTTCCTGAGTTTAATCAAAACCCACGTTTCAAATGTTCCATTTAGTTTTCGTAGAAGCTGACACGAGGACGCTTTATCGAAGCATTTGCGGAGTAACTGCATTCACTAATCTTCAATAACTGTATTGGAAAATGGATACTGTGCAATTCTAAAGAAGCATTTTTCAAGAAATTTATCGTTATCAAAAGCCTGTCACAGAAACAAACGTGAGCAAAAAAATGATTGTGCATCTGCTTCACTAGTTATCAAGTAAATTTCAATCGGTTCATGTTGTAGTAAAGACTGACACTCACGCTCCGACACTGATGTGTAGAGTCTTCAGACCTCAGTTACGTGAAAAAAGCCCTAGTTAAAAAGGCGACTTCAGGTCAAAATAGTTTCAGTGTAAGAGCATACGGGTGTCACTGAAAAAACAATTTTTAGTGACGAGGTTCTAGCATAGCTAATTACTGTAACTAGATATTGATGTTTCCTTCAAACTAGAAAAAAAAGTAGAAGCTCAACTATCTTACTTTATTTTAAGGCTTCAACAAAGAGCAACCGATTTAAATGTCAAGTTATTTTCTAAAGCACAGAGCACTTACTCTCCTGCGTCTGTGGAGTGTCTTCAGTGGATTCTTGCGTTATGTCGGCTCCACCGCTCCATTTAAACAGCTTCTTGTATTCGTCTCGGAAGGTCTTGTTCATGACGCCATAAATGACCGGGTTTATCACTGTACTCAACTGACCCAAAAATGTGTACATCACGTACACCTCACGAGGAAGGTTCCAGCCTCCTTGTCCAAACCCTATGAAATCCACAATGGCAATCGGTGTCCAACAGATTAGGAAGGCGCAAACTGTAAGAAACAAAGTTTTTGTCACATTTATCTCCTCAACAGAGATCCTTGCAGCGTTTGGCTGGTCTCCTCGGCGTCGCAAGCTATGGAACCGTTTGTTATGCTCTTTCAAAGCTTTGAAAACGTTGTAATAACAAAACGAAAGCACCAACATGGGAATGAAAACGAACATGTACCCGAGTAAAGTGAAAAAGTCGACTTCGACGACTTGAAAACAAAAGAACTTCCCCGCATGGTACACGTAACGATGGTTGGAAGCAAGATAAGGTACTGGTTCAACGAGAGAGACGAGCCAAATAACAGCAATCATGATACGAGTGTTCCTTGTGCTGAAGATCTTCTGGTAGTTCTTCGGACGGACGATTAAAAAGTACCGATTTACAGCGACCACGGTTAGCGTTAAAAGTGACACACAAGCCAGCATGGCTATAGCATATCCTTGAAGCTGACAGACAAAATTTCCGTAAGTTCGTTTCCCCGTCACGAGGACCGTGAGGCACGGCGGCTGGCATATGGTTGCCATTCCGATGTCGGCAAAAGCAAGGGAAACGATAAAATGGTTTGGAATTGTTCGGAGATTTTTGTTCTTCCACACCATCCACAAAACTAAAGAATTCCCCAGCAGAGCTGTGAGAAGTAGGACGGCGCAAACAAGCGCTTCCATAACCACAACTCCCGTTTGTCTATCGGCAAGGAGTACTACGTACTTCTCAAGCGACGGATGACCGGCTCTGTTTTGAGACATCTGGAAGACAGGGAAATTGTTTTTCAGCTCAATTCCAGTAAAGAACAGGTCCTCAAAGGTTTGTCGTGACGAATCAACAGTAGAAAATGAAACAACTGTAAAGATAAAAATAGGACGTGTTTCTTGGCTTCAGATCTACTCTTTTGCTTTTGAAAATGAAGCAAGGCCACATCTCGAGAGCCGCTTTATGCTGTCTCTTTCAAGACAGATGGCCAATTAATAGCAATTACTTTGCGTCTTGTTTATCTTAAAGAGTTATCTTTTTGGACAATGCTATCGGTTGAAAGTATTATGTTTTGTCAAAATTTTTTTTTTCCTTTCAACCATGACTGTCATTTCGATCTATTGTGCTTTAGAAGGCCAGGTGTCTGTCCACGACAACAATACAATTAAAGTCTCTTCGTTCACTTCATTTATATCAAACTTTAAAAAAAATTTAAGCCCGCAAAAATTTCTTATACTAGAAATCAGCCTTTATCATTCATTGGCTGATGTAACTGATGAGCCGGAGGCAATAAAGTTTAAGAAAACAGTGCAAGAAAACAAAAAAGACAAAAAACGCTAAAGACGCAACTGCGTCTTGAGGTACGGAAATGAGATGCAACGGAAAAGTTCTTTTCTATTAGAGATTCGGCACATCATGAAATAACTAAATAGTGAGATCGGATTACTCTTTCATGCTCGCTGAAGAGTGTACTTTCTATCAAGAAACCTTTGCAAATACAGTCTTTGAGTGTTCTTGGTGTCATGATGGGCTGTTAACATTTCTCGGCTCTAAGCAGTTTTAAAGCGCTGCAACTCCCTTGTGCTCGCCACCTCGTGAAATACTTGCAATCTACGGTGTATGACTAAAAAAACCTTGTGTTAAATGTTACGTTTTGGTCACTTTGCCGAACGAAGTCTTTCAGAGTCGCAAAGTGCTGTGTAAATCTTTGCTTTTTGTTTTGGTTGGCTAAAAAATATATTAATTTACGCCGCCGTGTCACATGTTTTAAAAGAAGCTTTCAAGTTGTAAGTGCCAAGGAAACAATTAAGGTACATTAAGGCTTATTGTATAGTTATAACAAGCAAAATTCAATCGAAAGAAGATCCAGAAAATTCGATTTAAAACGACAAAACGCTTAGTGTACGAGTATACATTGACAGAATCAAAACAAGCAACATTGCAGTTATTCCTTGCGAAAATGCCTTGGTTGATATGTTGTTTACAATGGCCAAGATCATCTATATTGTTAGGACAATGATTATTTTTTTTAATGAATTCTGCCGAAAACGAAAGAAAAAAGGACTTGGCAATTTTTGCACAAGAAATAAACTGAAAAAGGCGGTGATGATTTTTAAAAAACAAAATTCTGAAAAATTACAAAAGACACTTCTTTATCATTGTTGGCTGACACAGATGAGGTCGTTTTGTATTTGTTTCTTGAATTATTAAGCTTTCAAATGTATTTTAATTGGAAAATGATAGGAGAAATCATGGAAAGGTCATGAAAGCTATGCATAACTGGTTTCCAAACCTTTCAGTCGAATCCGTTTCCTGTGTAACTTGTATTTCCATTGCTTAGTCTGGCTAAGATTAATATAAGACCTTAATTTTTATCTAAAATTCTAGATGTCTGTTTCCAAATTTTTTTTAGCTTATTAGCGTTATAGAAAGTGTTCAAAAAATGTTTGCCTTTCGTTAGAGTAGTTTTATAAGGCAGGTGATTAATGTATTGAAAGAAACGTCTTTTGGGCCTTCTTTTCAAAATCCATCCAATCACTTGGGTCCATGGCATACTCCTATAGTTACTATTAGAGACTTGTGGTGAAAAAAAACTATAAGACATTTGAAAATAAATTGAAAAAGCTATTGACAAACGGAACAAGAAATCATATCATAAATTAAATCATGGAAAGATCCGTCTGTAAACCATAAATTGAAAAATCGTGGTTTGGCCAAGAATGTCAACTTAATTATTTGACAACATCTCTAAGATGTAACAGTTTGTAACTATAAAAGGAAAGTAGGAGAGAAAATAGTCAAAAATAATAACGATTAATCACTCTACAAATTAATTAAAAGTATTTCATGAAACACCTGACTACTATTTTTTTCTTTTGACGATCAAATCCGGATAAATGTAAATAATATAGGCCGGATTGTCCTATGACAGAAAGTCATGTTGGCTTTTCCTGTTGATTTTGATTCGTGAAGATAGGTTTCAGTGATTTATCCATTTCGGCAGATCCACCGACGGTGTGTAGAATCCGTTTTCACCCTGAGACATCCTGGGACAGAAGTTGCCCGAACTTTGTCGCGTTCATTACGCTGGTATATAGAATGAACCTCTAACAGCTATATGTCGAGAAGTTTTGCATATCAGTGGTCAGTGTATCACGTCGAAAGTGCTTTTGATAAACCCGCTGAATTTGGTGGGGAGTGATGCAGACATTTCTGCACAGACTGACTGAATACTACCCCAGTGTTACTACAATGAAATAGTCCATATCCGTAAAATTAGATGGTATAATATGACCTCCCTACACCCTTCACGGAAGCAATGCCGCTTTATTTCCCCATTCACTAGTTCGCTAGTTCGCTTCGTATTATAGATAAACACGAAGCAGATATATTTTAAACATCATTCGTCATGAAGCTGTAGGACGGAGTCGTAAACATCTACCGATCTACAAGCTGATAAACCAAAAAACTGATAAGCTCAACATAATTGTAATACCGATTCCTTAGTTCAAAGGGCTTGCGAAAGAAACAACGAAAACATGATTAGTTTAGAGGATATGAGTTGTCATAAGGAGCCTTGAGTAATAGATAGGCCTATTGTTGTAATTTTTACTCGACTGATAAACAATGGAATACACTCGGACAATGCTCTCTAATTTTTAAAGGCTTTTTTTCCGCTAATTGCTCCGAGAAAACAAGTTTTGAAAGCCTCAAAGAAGGGCTCTAATATGAAAAACTTTTGCCACAAAACGATGGTTTGGTAAAGAAGTAATCTGAAACCACCCTCAACTGAGAGCTGGATCAAGGAGTGGCTGATTGACACTATCAAGCGTTTTCTTTGCACCTTCTGTTGGCGGTTTTTCATTAGTGATCGTGTTCGCCGCGCCCTAGCGGGACCGAGTGAGCACCTGGTCATAACAACTAAGCTTTGGAACTGCAATTGGAAAACAAGAAAGTACGTAAAACTTCTGATTTCCTCTCACCTCCGGGACCCTCCGGAGCCAACGCGAGGAGAGAACATAAAATGAAAAGAAAAAAAAAAGAAATCCGGAAACAAGACGAAAGGAAATATACAAGTAAGGTGAAGATAATTTTAAAAACTTTTATATTAATCAAATATGCCTTGTAATAAATAGAGGGGCATTTACATTAGCTAAATAAGCAACTAATATCAAGCTATAAAAGGCAAATATTGCTACTAATTCATCTTTTTCAGTTAAGAATTGTTTAAAAATAATCCTCGTGGTTTAACATAATCCATCTATATTTATTTAAGCTACACTTAAATTACTTTCATTTATTCTCATCAATTACGCTTGGTAATTGAGCGTATGAAAATGCAGATAAACTCCACATGTAAATTTTTAAGAAAGAGCCTCAAGATCTGAAATATATAACCACAATTTGGCACCGGAATTCGCAAGTCCCTCTCTCCCTTCGTCCTTCCACCATCCCACCCCCACCCCCCAGAAGCCTCCATCGCACAAATTAAACTATTTGTTCACTCTAAGATGTGCTTCGCTTATACAGTAAATAACTGATTTCAATCACAGTTATTGCTTATAGTGTCACTTAACCTTATAAGATGTCTATATAATATTTCTAGTCTCCTTCAGGAATATTTGTCTGGGAGAATTATCTCTCCCGAGTAGCGAACGGTGTTCTAAGGCTAAGTTCTGAGAGAAGTGAGAAATTGTTTATGTCTCGGAACTAATATAACTGAGAGAGTATTTCCAAACTAAATGGAAACCGTAATGTTTATCAACCTTCAAATTAATATTCTTTACAGAGCGCGGAACAGAACGCGAACACTCAGCTTGCCTTCGTGCACTTCAGCTCAGGTTTATCGATCTGTCTCTTGACGCGCTTAAACCATTCACGCACTAGTACTTGATGAAATGTCCATAATTTAGTCTAATTTCTGCGATACTTAATACCAATTTATATTAATCATTTTGAAAAGGCTTTGAGTAAAAAGACCCACAACTTATACATGAACACATTTGCGCTTCTTGAAATGAGTTGCTACGTGAGAGTTACTCGTTAGTCCAATGACACCTTGTGCATCTGCCATCAGGAATTTGTCTGCTGTCTTGGATTTAAAAGTGATATAGTTATTGGATGCATTACCCAGGTAGAACACGTGCGAATTTGTCACAGAAGACGAATTCTTGATGAAGGAAGAAAAAAAGCAAAGGTCAATTAGAACCAGTAGTTGACAAACGTGAATTATAACTTGTTGACGCTCATAATTCAATGGTGCGGTGTTCTTTTATAAAGATAATCAGTGATTTGGTTTTCTCGTTATCCAAGGAGAATCTTTTCCATGGTCATTCTCTTAGTTCCTGAATAAAAGATTGTGGTGTGGTACAAAACAATAATCAGGTAGCATCAGAAGCATAGGATGCAAAAAAGGGGGTAAGTTTCTAAAGAAACTGTAGTGCTGTACCGGTGGGGGAGTATAACAACATGATGATTTGAATTTATCAAATGATTGGCCCCCATTAAGAGTTTCTTAAGTTGACGTTTCGAGCCCTTCGTCATTTGCTCTGACAAAAGGCCAAAGCTTGAAAAGGCCAAAGCTTGAAAAGGCCGACTTACTTTATCAACTCAGTTGATACAACAAAATGATCTAACTAAAAGAAAAATAGCTGTGGATCAAAACAAAAGCAATATGCTCCAGAATGAGAAAAAAAATTCAGCAAAAAAGGGATTGAGGAATACTTGGAAATGAGGTACTTTCAAACAATTGCAAATTACGTTTGTAAAAAGAATAGGAGGAATGTAAAGTTTTGAGCTCGGTAAATAAATGGAGAACGATGTTTTTTCGTCTTGTCATGAGCGTGGGACACGGAAAAAATTGTGAGTCCCCGCAGGGAATCGGAGCGCGTAATCCGGAGGTGTGACGTTCGATTCCTCGTGGGCACTCTGGACTTTTTCTTTATCCCACGCTCGTGACAAGACGAAAAACAACTTTCTTTATTTCTTTACCGAGCTCAAACTTGCCATCTCTCTTATTCTATTTAGAAACATGACGCTATCGACATTGCTGATCCTGGTAGTATGTAGGACCTCGCTCACCCTTGAGTCTCTGTGGCTCAGTGGTAGAGCATCCAAGGTTCGATTCCTCACGAGGACTCACAATTTTTACCTTTGTCCCACGCTCGTGACAAGACGAAAAACATCTTTCTCCAATTACAATTCACGTTGTATTAACCAGCCTATTATGTTAATTTCAGTTTGAATGACAGGTATAGAGTTCCTGATAATTGCCCTAGTAGATGAGAAATTACGTACCATAACGAAGATGTAATCTTACCTCTAATAACACTTTTCCTGACTTCACTGTTAAAATGAAGGTACGGTTCAAATTCCAACGTATAGTATATTTTAATTTACCAAGAGCCCTATCCACTTGTCGCGTGAAGAAGAACACTGTTTGTAAGTTCAAAAAATAATAAACTAGTATCAAATAATAAATTATATATATATATATATACCTATAATGAAGGTGTCTCTGAATTTATAATAAACTACTAAAGACTTCCATAAAGACGAATCTTGACTAGCTAACTGCAATGAAATAGTAACACAACTGGAGGTCTTGGTAACCTTATACGTCAGAAATTGTTGCAGCATGTTAAAAATAATTTGGCAATTGATTGATACAATTTTAAAGGAGACAAACAAGAAAGAGTGATACTGTCGATCTAGCGGAGAAGTAAAAGAAAAAGATATGAAAAATTCTGGCTTAAGTCAATAGCCAGCAATGAAAATAGCATTGAGATTGATCGATTACATCAGTGGCTTGCAAAGAGAAATTGATGATCTTGAACCACTGCCTTGTGTTTTCATATATGTTCGATAAAAATTGTATACGTTACCAGTGGAGGGCTTCTTGCCGTATTGTGCTGTGAATGACACATCTACTCTGCCATTGGTTGTCATTTCTGCTTTCATGAGGGCTGGCGTTAACAATTCCCACCTTAGTTTTGAACGCAAATCACATGTTGCATTGCGCCAACTAATTTGAGAAATGGATTGATTTCTGGCTGGAATCCAAAGCATTCCTGCAGCAATGAAAAGGCTCTGAAACAAATTTGAAATAAAATGCTTAAATTTACCGAGGGAATTCAAGTATCTAATTTAGGGACGGGCACCGTGGAAATATTGGAAGGGACGGAAGGGTTATTCACGGGTAATTAATAACGCATGAATTCTCAAATTCATGCGTGAAACGGGATCAGGATCCCCTTTTTCGTTGTAAATTGGTAATTTGAAATAGAGACTATTAAATCTAAGAAGTGGGTTGAACAATTATGACCCTTTCTTTGGGCTCAGCATATCGGATGCTCAGAATTTGGCTCAACCTCGAAATATCATCAGGTGATCATGTAATCTAGGAGGAATCACGCAAAAGCAAATAAACAACAACGACAACAGATGGCAAAAAAAATTGTAGATAATTTGAATCCGTATTAGACCTCTAAGTGGTCAAAGACAGTTTCAAAAGTCGGGGTATCTATTCATTCAGCTTTAGCCCTTTCCTTTAAGGACACTTCAGAAGGACGGAGGGGGCTTAATTGAAATGTTGATAAAATGCAATAACTCATCATATCTTGTGATCATGCAGACTTTGGGTCTATTCGATCCCTCTCAGGTGTATTTCGTTTTTTTCTTTCTTTCTTTTCACGAAAAAAATCGAAAATGAAAAAAAACAACAACAACAACAAAAAAAGCCAAAAAAAGAAAAAGAAAATGAAAAAAACGCTTGATCGAAAGAAACCAAGAAAGAAAATTGATATATAAGCAAAACTTTAAAGGTTCAACATCCGAGCAAGTAAGCAAAATATCCACCATCACCACCCCCACCATTCCTCTACTTGAAAGCTTGAAAAGTGGACCCTATGGTCCTCAAGATTTGGGTTTAACACAACGTCATCTAGAAACATTCAAAACCAAACTCAGTGTTTACTGAAAGGAAAAACATTTTAATGTCTGCTGGACCCCTTCGGCCAACTTCAACTGTTCAGAGCAGTGTGTGAGACTGGTTTGACCTCATGATGTTGTTGTAATATTAAGTCAACTGAGAGCTATCAAAGGCGAATTAATTTGAATATCGAAGAGCAGCATCTCATTAATGTTTCAAATACACCCCATTGTTTATGAAAACTCGATAGACGAACTTAACCACTGAATTAGACTGTAAGTGCTTTGGTTAGAGGACCTTTGGCTAAGCTTCAAGATTTATCTTTTAAATGATAAGGTTATCTCGTTTGTTTCTATTTAATATGTTGATTGGCAAGGAAACGATAAGGGAAATAGATAACCTGATTGAAGAACTAAAGCCATTTGAGGCTGATGCCTAACACGTGCCAACACGCTTATACGTGGGTAGTTAGCAAAGGGCGTAAACACACCTACCCTACCTCAATTCGAAACTTGGATAATTTAGGTCTGGACAATATTTCACCCATTTTCTTCATCAGGAAAATTCAAATTCCATGCCACCCATATGAATTGATAAAATACTTTCACGTTTTTCATGCAATGACAAACACCCTGCCGGATCGCTTACGGGATACAATGCCCATCGAATCCGAACTGATTTCCCTTAATCCTTCTTGAAAAAATGAAAAATAAAAGGATAATAAGAAACATGAATGTAAAAGGGTATGGATTAATGCAACGATCATTTTTCAACACGCCATAATGACGAATAAAAAGGTCTAAGTCTAAAAACTCATCTAAAATTAAACTTAGCGAGTGACACTTAATACGGCAGAGGTTCATGAGAAAAAGTAAACAACTTTAAACTAAAAATAGCTTCGATATCTAGAATGTAGCAAGCTAATTAAGAGCTACAAGTCTGTCATAATGCATGTAAAATTCAGCACAAAAGGTGACGGTTTTACGAATAATCATGCTACCAGAACAGCAAAAGAAAGCACAAGAGAAGTATTGCAATTTTAAACAAAAAATTTGTTTTCAAGGAAATCAACTTTATGCAGTCATACAGGTTGGTAGACAGCCAATGTGGATCTCATGTAGACGACTGTCGCTGATTCGTTTCTATGGAAATGAACTGCAAATCATCATATGAACGGAAATTAAAAACGTCTTCATGTGCAATGACACGCGAGAACTAGGATCTTATTTTACTCGTCCCCCAAAAAAAAAAAGCGGAAAAAACAAATCCTTCATCGACTTCCGCAACGCATCCGATGCCTTGAGGAAATTTTAAGATTTTGAAACTTTTTCACTCTTTTCGTCCAACATTTTATACAATGACGGCCAAGTAAGGAACTGCTGTTTATAGGACTGAAGAGCATTATTTAAATAGAAAATGATTTGCGATTAAATGAAAATCAAAGTTTCCTGGAGAGAAAATATAGTTGCTCACGACAAACGCCGGGATCGCAGCTCACCCAGGCTGGGAATAATTCTTTTAAAGTTTTCTAATTGTTGCCGCCTTTTTAACGAGAATCACACGAAATTATCGTCCCAATGGTAAGAGCTAGAATGGAGAAAAGAAAATTAATTAAACTGTTCATTTACAAAGTCTGGAATCGACGTCCCAATCATTTTTTTTTTATTGTTAATACTGGCTAGATCACTGCTTAGAGAAACTTTTAAACGATCAAAATTCAAGTCGGGGTGGAAAAAAATGTACTCAGCAGGTCGTTTGACACGACTGCTCTAAAGCAGATTTAAAAAAATTAATAAGCCTCGAGGTATTGACTTAATTGATTGGTCATGCTGAAGTAAAATGAAATCGCAACCCTTTAGCCTCAATTTTTTTTAATGAATCCTCTGACTTTGTAACTTCGCCTGAATCGGTAAAACCAAGTGTCTACAAACGTTATTGTGCAGCTTGGGTTATGGGAGGTTGTTTAAGTTAAAAGAAACCAGTGGCATAACTCTCGAACTACCTTTTAAACAGTGGCATACCCACTTGAACGGTTAAACTCGAGATGACGTAGGAATTTCCATCAGCAAGTGATTAAGCTAAATCTACTAATCGTGTTAGAGGTACTTACAAGCAATATTGTCACCATGTTTAAGGTCACACTAAGATGTTCGGAGTATCCTCGGACAGAGTACCAAAGGAGTGGAAAGGTAGCAACTTTTCACGTCATGCATTTCAAATTCAGACTTTTATAGAGTATAGTGAGCAGTTCAAGATCATGTCGGAAATGCTTCAATAAAGATTTAATTACTGCAACGTGTCGGTGGTGTTTCCCTTCGCGGGAAAGCACGCAGACAAAAAAGGATCGTCCAAAAGCGGGTCTTCGAGTGTTTTCAGTACTTCTGTATTCGCACGAGAATAATTATGTTTAATATAAACGGTACAGATCAGTCTAACCACATTTAATAAACCGCTTGGATTTTAACAGGACACCGAGATGAAGGATGGGTCAATCTGCTTCTTCCTCTATCAGTTTTGTTCATTGGAAAAATCGAGGAGGCCTATCAGACTTCGTTTCAAAATTAGAGCTTATCTTTGACAAGAAAACAAACATGTGTTAGTGTTTCAGGAAAGGCTAAAGGAGATCCTGTCTTTAAGACACGGAGTGCACGTGCTGTGCTCGCATTCCCCTTGGCATGGGGTGGGCGCACCACAGCAGGTTTGGTTGGAGGTGCCGACAATTCCTTGTACTTGTGGTCCTTTATCAGACAAAAATACGCCATTATCCGCTCTTGCTTGTAGACGTGGCATCCAAACATGCGCAGATATTGATTGATATAAATTGCGGCGTTTTAAGATGTATGTATAACCATCACAACGAGTCTTTTAAGCCTCAATATTTTAAAATTTGTGTCAAGAGGCTTTAATTTGTTTTTGGGTTAGCCACTGACCAAAGACGTTCTATGGACAAAACTGCTAACTTTAACCCTTTAACCTTGATAATGCTTTTAAACTTTATTGTTGACAAACCCCTTTTATGAAGGGTTGAAATAAACGGCTTTGGTCACGATTTATTAGCTATCGGCGGGAAAAAGAATTTCACTTAGCCTCATAACTAATTAAGTGGCTAACTGCGGCATGAAGCAAAGTCAAAATACCGAAGATTTTGCAAATACCAATGCATTCTACGCGCTCATATGCAACTCTTTATTTTGATTCATTATAAATCTGAGGAGCACATGGCATCTTTGTGAATTGCGCCTACAGGTGAAAAGCTGTCACTCAAGGAACTTCAAAATCAAAATAAAACAGTGGGAACATTCTACCCCCAAATCAGTCCGTTGATTACGGTGATGTCTATCGAGCTGTTGATAGCGATCGTCAGTGATAACCGGTGTGTGAACATGATATGACAGGATAAGGTGAAATACCCTGTCGATTTGCGCGCGCGTTTATTCAGTTGCCGCAAACTAACGTTTCTGGTCGCGCCGCCCACTTCCGTTCCCACGCTAATCACATACTCGTAAGTTTAATGATATCGCAAAAAAAAACAAACAAATAAAAGAATTACCGATTAAAAAAAATAAAGTACACAGAGAATTGGTAAATTAATTCTCGTAAACGCTAGCAAACAAAAAAGCTGCGGAAAGAATTCCACTTGAATACTATCTTAAGTTGCAGCTTAGTTGAAGTTCTTGGCAGCTTTTACGAGTTCTTGCGTTTTGTTTGATGAATAAAGAGTGTAAGTTTCTAAAGAAACAGAGCTCTGACGATGGGCTATCGCTCGAAACGTCAGCTTTGAAACTCTTTACGGTTGGCAAAATGCGTTTTCAACTTGGTTGATCATACTAAATTATCTTTTATGATGTTTGCTTGTTTGTATTCTTAAAGTTCTTCTGTAATACGATCATGTTACTAGGCAAGTGTGTTTGGGTTGTTTGCATTCTGTTTAATCACGTTTAATCTTATTGGTGCCTTGCCATCGAGTTGCCGCGGTTTCTAGCGAATTCTTTTTCTTTTCATCATTTATAAAGCTGAATAAACCATCGTTTACTTTAGAAGAATGTCGATAATAAAATGTCCTGTCCTTCCTTCCTTCCATGACTTTCTTCAAAGGAACTGGATTGCAATCAAACATGCACAAATCAAGATTGTGCCT